ATAATTTCGAAATTCATGTATGAATACACTTATTATTGGTACTGTTATTATATGTATTGTTGATTAGTTTGAATATCCAATGTTGTATTCTTACATAAAATATTGATTCTTGATCATTCTCTTCGATGACGTTTTCAATATAATCATAAAAAAGTTTGAAGTAATGTTATCAAAGTCACAAAGTACGGATTTTTGTTGATCATGGTTCCTTTAAGAACGAATAATTTAACGACCCTTATTTACTAAGCAACAGAGACGCAAAATACCTCGAAGTAAAATGAAACTTATTAATTTACGCCAGTGATTCGTTCCGTTCTGTGTATTACTTTCTCTGTTTCGGTAGTGGTTTTTAGCGTAGATTTCTATCTGTCTCTCTCTATCTCTCTGCGGTGGCAGCAGCTAATTGCTCTTCAGTACTTTCATGCACTCTCATTGACGTTAACACATTAGTTAAGCTTTCGTTTCAGTATCGATCATAAACCGATTTCGAACCTCGTCGAAATCTTCTTCACTCTAACGACGCCATAACTGTCGTAAATTGTTGTACCTAAATCTTTCAAATCCCAGAAGTCCCATCTCCTCCAAGACCTCTGTCCTTAGTTCGACCTACTTATTGACCGGGCAGACCGAGCGATTAAAACTAATTCCGTTTGATTAAGATCCCAAGTTTGTTCGAAGTCGACAGCGATTTAAGGTCGTGGAAAAGAAAATCTAGTGCAGCGACGGAAGAAAATTTTCAATGAATGAGATTCGGGTTATCATTTCCGCAGAGTCTAAATTTCAGAAATTCTGAGTGTTTTTAAGCATCAATTTATCGATGACTAGTTTGAAAAACGTCAATTATGTTAACTTTTTTTGTTAGGTGAGTAGGTAATAATCTCATAACTCACACCTTTGAACCAATCACAATTGTCCAGATTTATAACTCACCATTATCGAGGCCAATCACAGAGGAACAAATTCAATTATTTTGAATCGCAACCTGAACGTTAGAATTTACCTACTCCAAAATATGTTGGTGAATGTAAAACTCAATAATTGAACTTACAGTTCGTTTTAAAATTTATAGTTTCCAACGTCAAACAAGAATAAAAACACTGACTCGGAAAGTAAAACGTGAACCTCAACAGATATTAGTAATGCTGTGATCAACTTAAATAGTTATTTCGGGATTAGAGAACAAAAACAAATATTAATCATCGAAAATCACTTTATTGTTTTTTCAAAATATTTCCCATAAAGATCTATACACTTATGCGTGCGGGAATAAAAAGAAGTCATTCGGTGCCAAGTCAGGACTATACGTATTGTCGTGATGAGGAGTGATCCGTCTTCTGCGGTTGGTTTTCCTGATCTCTTGGAAGACAACTGGCAAGCAAATGTTTGTGTACCACTCAGAATTGACTGTTCTGCATTGTTCTAGTGGCGCGGTTGCGACATGTCCAGTTTTTCCGAAAAAACAGGCGACCATTTGCTTGGAAGTGCTTCGTGCGCGAACAACTTTTGTTGGATTTGGCTCTTCTTGAAACACCCATACAGTCGACTGCTGTTTACTTTCGGGCTCATACGCGTAAATCCACGATTCATCGCCTGTCACGATGTCATAGACGTGTTTCGAAGCACCGCGATCGTATTTTTTGAGCATTTTCTTCGACCAATCGACACGAGACTTGAGTGATTGACGAATTGTATGGGATCCAACGCGAACAAATTTTTTCGACAGTCAAATGTTTAAGCAATATTGAATGTATGCTGGTTCCACTAATGCCTAAGGTTGTCTCAATTTCACGATAGATCACATGACGATCTTGCAATATCAGTGCGCGCACAGCATCAATGGTTTTCGGAACAACAACTGATTTTGGACGACATTCACGATATTCGTCTTGGAGTAAACTACGACCATGATTCAATTCACCATACCATCTGGTATGGTCCTTGATGGGGCTTCATTGAATTAAGTGCATCCATGCACTGTTGCTGATTTAATCTACGTCAAAGTTGTTAAAAATAATCGCATGAAAATGTTCACGTTTTAATTCCATTTTTGGGCCAAGTAAATCTTTCAAGTTACTATAAACAACACAAATAGCGCGCGTATATAAAACGTTCTGAGTACGTATAAGCTCAAAAATGTCCAACTTTACGATAGAGTTGTCAGTTGCCAGATTGCAACACTAGTATTGCCAAATCCCGAAACATAAAAGGCAACTTATCGTAGTAATAATGTAGCAATTGTTGTGTGAATAAACCCCACACCCCACAACAATTTTTACACCAAGTTCATTTAATTTTTGGAATAACTGTTTTGGTGAATCTCGGTGTAATCTCTCACCCATTTCATTCAATATTTCTAACCTACCTCGGCATCCAAATTTGTATGTTCGGTTGTATCACTAATAATGTAGCAATTTTTATGTGGATGAACTCCACAACTGACACCAACCTCAACACCTATTTCATTTCATATCTGGAATGAATGTTTTGGTGAAACTCGTTATAATCTCTCAAAGTCATTTATATTACTCATTTTACTCAATATTTCCAACCCACCTCGGCAACAATTATTTAGTACAATTAAAACACCTAGTATTTCAATAGATTTTTCATTTTTTTTTATTCTGTTGTGTTCTTTTGAACTTGATGAATAAGTATATTTACTTTTTCTGTGGGGATATTGATATAATTCATTTCAAGTTTGTTTTTTTTTGACTTTCAAATATCATCAAGCTGAATGATAGTTCATTAGTACAGAACATAAAATACGGTTATGAAATTGTCATTTTATAAGCGAATTTTTCATTCCATATTTCTCCTGGATAGTTTACAACCTATGTCGAAAGCAAATAAAATTATTTAATGATCAATCATTTCAGATAAATAGTAATTGTATAGTAATGTTTTATTTGAAAAGCATTGTATTAAAACAAATTGTATTTGGCTTTTATTATATTGGATGACGTTATATTCATGCGGTATCAAATCCCATCCTTCTTCCTCAATATTTCCCCAAGAGTCTGTTGTTATATATATGAGATACTGGGACGAAATTCGACTCTTTGCATTGATATGAGCATGACTTGGTTGTGTATTCTGAACAAATTTTGCCTTGTCAACAAATTTACATCGCTTTTCATTGTGTTGTTCGAAAAGCTAATGCATTGTTTGTGCACAATACAGAGCCTGGAAAATTCCTCTGCTTGCTTGATATTGTTCTGTGTTAATTGGGGCCCTTTGTTATGCGCCTCGAAAATGACTTTAATCTCTTCTTCATAATAGATTGGCAAACTGAATGGGTAATTTTGGCTACGGTTACGTCACTCACTCTTCATTGGGTATTGGTGAGTAAAAACTAAAGCACTGAATCTCAAGTAGCATTGAAGCAATCGCAAGTACAGTACAGTTAGTTTTATACTATATCCATGAGACAGAGTCTTTAGTTTGAAATGATTACATTCGGGTTGAAGAAAGCGAGAAAAGTGTTATTTCAGTTGGTGATGCAGGCCAACGACTATGGACATACAGGATTGTTTACTTTTGCGATTTTGTTAGACACGTCACGTGATCTCGTGACGTAACAGTGGTGACTCTGGATTGATTCGGTACTGCACTTTAAAATAAAAACATACAAAATTTCATGTAAATCCCTTATTGAAATATTATTTTTATCTAGGATTAATTACTTAATAAAAATGGATTAATGATTTTTTTTGTGGATGATAGGGCGAGCTATTTTGCCCTTTTTAAAAGTAAGAGGTTTCATCAGTTTTTTATTATTTTCGTGAAAACTGTAATTTCCACAAAAATTTTGTAATGAACTTTGTTTTAGATAATGATATTGTCTAAAAAATATTTTTATAACTTTTTGTGTCATCTTTTATATAAACTTTTATAATAGGTCTTTATTCCCATTAACTTTTTTTATCTATCTGACAGAAAATACATACATACATACAGGGTTTCAGTTATATCCATATATGTTCTACAAAAGATTCATCACTTATTCTGCCTTGCAAAACTTTTCGATGAACTGGTTGACATTCATTTTCACAATTAGTATCTATGTTGTCGTTTAGTTTCACTACTTCTCTGAGTAATCCAGTAGTTTTTATTGTCCTCCCATACAAACGAAGTAGCGATGAAAGTGGAGGGGGCTATAAGAAATAGTAAGAAACCTCCATGGGTACAATGTTGACCTAAACAAATCTGGTATATATTTTTTATTTTTGAAGGCTAACCGTGAAAGTAATTATAAACAAAATAAGATCCTGAAATTCTCTGGAATAGTCAGTAAGAGATATCGGTCTTATGAAACAAAAATAGGGTTATGCAGGGTAGATAAGAACACATCATAAACAAGAATTTTTAATGAAAATTCATTGTTGCAAAGCCACAAAAAGTCACCTTGTTTTGACAGAAAATCTTGTTGAATTGAAACTAAATTTTATGTGTAAGATTGAAACAGCAAATGAACAAGTTGAAATTATAATTCGAAAAACCATGATTTTTCAAAATGCCTCACATCATATATCGACCTGATTTGTTCGAATCAATTTCTGGAGTAATTATTTTGAAATATTTTTGACTCGTAGCCAATGGATAAGTTATATCGCTAGATTTTCCGTATTTAGAACTTTACAAGTATATACTAACAGTTTTAACTTTCTAGTTGTTACCAACTATTAGATTTTTTAAAATATATTAATTATTCTCAAATCTATACCGAATGAGAGTTTTTGAAGTTTGTAATGAACAATATTATCGTAATAATTCATGAGCTCAGTATGGCTTCCATTCGACTTGATCATTAGCGAATTATTGTTCAATATGAACTTTTGAATTGTGGTATGGCGTATATACATGCTTTCTTCCGGTTGGGAATTCCATACTCGATAAAAGTCTCTTGAATCAAATTCCTTTCGGGAACCTGAAACTTCTACTTTACGAAAAGTTTCATCTATGAAGAATTAAAGTCATTTTTTTGTTTTGTTCACTGATAGAAAGGCAGCGCCTTGATTGAGTACTTTTTAAAGGGACAGGACATACCCATTTATATCTGGTATGAAAGTTATCCGACCCACAGCGGGGAGGGGTACGAGGGAAGAGTGTCGAGGGTATCGCCGGACTCCCCTTACGGCGCAGCCTCGCTCAACCTTACCAACATCAAAGAATCGGACCAAGGATGGTAAGTCGATAATTTATTCAGATTTGAAGAGTTTTGAGTTGAAATGGTTGTTTTTGTGCAATATTTACGAGGGTGGTTTAAAAAGTTTCCGATCTCAACATGAAGATGGCAGCACTCGCAAACAAAAGCTAATGAATTCAGTTGGTAATCTGTTGACAGTTACTCACTAAAGTTTCAGCCATTTTGAACGCGCAGTTGTTATGTAACAGTCGTTTGAGTGACTGTTCTGCGTTTTTATGAAAATGGGCAGAATCGAGTATCGAGCTGTCATTCAATATTTGTTTTTAAAAGACAATATACCTACGCCAATCAGAGATGAGTTGGATGCTGTGTATGGGGACTCTGCACCATTATTCACCACAGTGAAATTTTGGGCAGCTGAATTTAAACGTTATCTCGAGAGCTTGAGAGACGATGAACGTTTGCGACGTTCGAAAACTGCAACTATCGACGAAAACATCGCCAAAGTTCATCAAATGGCGAGATAGCAGAGGTTATGCACATGTCAAAACAACGTTTTTGTCACATATTAAATCAACATTTAATCAAAAGATAGCTGTCCACGCATTGGGTGCCGCGTTTGCTCACGTTAGGCCAAAAATAAGATCGAATGAACATTTCCAACGCTGTGTTGGCGCAGTTTAGACGCAATGAATCCGAGTTTTCGCACCGAATAATCACCGTAGATGAAACTTGGATACACCATTATGCGCCTGAAACAAAAATACAGTCCAAGCAATGGATTGCAAAGGGGGAACCGGCTCCAAAAAAAATCAAAAACCATTTTTTCGGCTGGGAAAAGGGATGGCGACTTTTTTTTGGATAGTGGTGGAGTTGTTTTAATGGATTATCTTCAATACTTTTCATTATTTTTTGACAAATTAAAGGCAGAAATCTCCGTCTCACACCTCAGCGGTTGCTATGGAAAAAATCCACGAATTACAGTTTGAACTGCTCGACTATCCCCCTTATTCACCAGATTTAGTCCCAAGCGACTTTTTTTCGTTTCCTCATCTGGAAATTGCGATCGGAGGACAGAGATTTTCGTCGAATGAAAAGGGAGAAAGAAGTGTGTAGAGCTAAAATGAGACTGTGTTGAAAAATAAAAATAAAACATCTGGAATAATGTCTTGTACCTTTGTTAGGTCGGAAACTTCTGAGACCCCCCTGGTTTTTTTTATTATGACAGACGAACGATCCTGATCATTTCACAGCGGCAAATCACACGGAATTGGCGACATCTATATTTGGTAGTATGAACCACTATGGTAGTGAACAACAAAGTGTTTTAATTCTCCTATATAAGGAGATGAAAGATCGGTCGAAATTCGTGAAAATGTCATTCTTGGTTCTTCGGCCCAAAGAGTTCAATATGTTTTTATTTAATTCAGATCGATATCTTTCAAGCTTTTGCTTGTCCTAGTTTTTAGTTTCAATATTTGAATTCATACCTATTTCGTTATCATTGTATTTAGGTTGAAATGAAATGCAATGCTTTATTCAAGTAGGGTACATCCTAATAATATACAACAATGATAATGATGTTAACATAGATATACATATAAACACAATAAAAAAATCTACTAATACAAGTAAAACCTACAATAATTCAAAATACAAAAATGTACATAATAATATCAACTTGATGGTCTCTTAAATAGTTCAGTAAATTCCTTTTAAACATAATAAGACTGGTAGAAGACTTTACGTTTTCAGGTTACACTTAATCTTTCGAAAAATAATGTTTTAGTGCTAAACATTTCTTTTTGATTATTTACATACAATTTGTTTCTAATTCTAGTATTATACTGGTGGATTTAATTATTAAAAATTACAAATTTGTCAAAATATGAAGGTAGAAGGTTATGTAACATTTTGTTAATATATATTATCGTTAAATATGTAAGACTACTTTCTATAGATAACCATTCTAGAGTATTTAACATCAAAGATATAGGGATACTCGTGTCACATATCAAAATAATCCTCATTACGCGATTCTGTAATGTTCTCATTTTATTTGAATCAGTTGTGTATAGAAGAGTGGGACAATATTCGAATGGTGGTTGTATATATAATGGTCTTACGTACTGTTATTCGTGATTGCACAGTTGAGTGTTGGCTTATACTTCACTAGCTTTATTACTAGTTTTATCTGTTTGGGCTGTCATTAATGTGTATTTTAGGTATCAGATAACTACAGAAATAATAATTGTAGCAAAAACGCGTCAAAACGAAATAAAGAGCCCAAAATCAAATGCAATACGAAGTAAAGATTCCAAAATTCAAACAATTGAAAGAATAATTTCAGCTCCCATTGAAACAAAGTGTCCCTTATAATCCAATTGGTCACACTAACTAACGTAATTCAAAACATTGACCCAACCTTCAAGTCCAAAAACCGTATGGACAGTTAGTTCTAAATAGGAACCTCCTATACCCACATCACATACAGCGAGTCCAAGCTGTACTGCCTCGGGATTTTCATCCAAGATTAATGTTTTGCAGGTGGCTGATTCATACGATAGCCCACAGTAATAATTTTCTACCAAATATTTTATTTACGAACGAAGCAAATTTTTCATGAGATGCTATTATGAACTTTCACAATGACCATTTTTGGGTCGACGAAAATCTCTACGTTATTAGAGAAGGTTATTTTCAGCAACAATTTTCGCTGTACCTTTGGGTAGGAATAAAAGTGACTACCTAATTGGTCCATTTTTTGCCAGCAAGATCAACAGGTGGATCCTAATCGGACTTTTTTGCGAGATCATTTACCCATTTTGTTAAAAGAAGTGCCGGTACTTGTAAGAGGCAACATGTAGTTTATGCACGACGGGGTTCCAGCTCATTCTTGCTCGTCAGCATCTCGATATCACACACCCTAATCGCTGGAATGGATGTGTAGAACCTCAAAATTGGTCAGCTCGCAGTCCTGATGTGATTCCTATAGATTTTCATTTAAGGGGTCATCTGAAGGCTCTTGTTTATACAACTCCTGTGCTAGATGTGAATTACTTGAGGAATCGAGTAATTGACAATTGCAATGTCATAGGGAATACTTCAGGTATTTTTGATAATCAGACAGTCAATGACAAATCGATTGCAGTCGTGTATTTTATCAGAAGAAGGTGGGCATTTCATTATTTACTCTTAATTTTTATTTTATGTTGTCCATGATAGTTTTCAGAAGTGATTTTAGTTGCTTGACCAAAAAAAAAATTAAAATCAACAAAAAATTCAGTGGCGTTCTTTTTTTCGCAATATTTTTGGCTGTGTTGTTTACTGAGACGCCACTGGACGCCAAACGAAGCAACTCCTGGTCATAAGAACTTTTTTCTTAAAACGACCCAACGAATCAACCTCTGAAGTTTCGTACCATAGTAACGAAACACCCTGTATATAGAAAGTAAGAATAGTATGTGTTCAAAATAATATAATTTGAACTATTTCTTCTTGTTGAATGGAAGAGCAAACTCTGGTTGATTTAAATTTTCATACTGCCATTGTTTAGGTTGTTGGGTCAGTAACCTCATCTGTCTGTAATATTTTTCGTGTATTAAATCACTCTTGATAAAATTATAAAAACAATGTAAAATGGCGAAGGTGTCGATATTTCACTATCTTACTATTTCAACTCAAAACAACTTTCTCTTCACTAAGCTATAATAATACCAACACATAACTCTCGATTTTTTCTATAGGTATGAGTGCAAAGTGGTGTTTCTCAATCGTCCCCCAAATCAACCCAAGAATGGTACCTGGTTCCACCTGGACGTGCACGCTCCCCCCAGGTTCGTAGTAACACCCGAAGACGTTATCTACGTCAACCTGGGGGACGCCATCATCCTCAATTGTCAAGCGGAGGGGACGCCCACCCCTGAAATACTCTGGTACAAGGATGCGAATCCTGTTGAGGCTTCATCGACGATTGGTATGTTATGACAATATAGAAAAATGTTGTACGAAGGAAATCAATTACTATTCCTCTTTCAAGTCCATATAGTGAGTGTTTCCGGCCTGTTCAAGTATGATATTGGAGAAGTTTCTTCTTCTCCCGAAGTGTTATATTTTCTCAAAAATGAAAGCGTAATAAAAAAATTGTGTTCATATAACGATTCAATTGTATATCTTGATAACTTAAATACGCATGTTCTATCTCACTCCTGAAATATGAATTATTAAAAAATTACTTATTTTAAAAAAGAGAAACACTACAGTACAAACGTAACAAACTTGTTACTAACTGATTTCGCCAGCGGGACAGTACTTATAGAAAAATAAATGAATATATATTCTAAAAATGAAACAAAGAGAATAATGGTCCTTTGTGTCTTCGTTCAAGTTCTGCGTATCGCCGGATGTCGATTCAGCACAAGTCAGTATTAAACTTGATCTTGTTTATTCACATCATCTTCGGTATGAATAGAGAAGGTCGATGAAAAACATATAACAAGCATGATGATAGTAAGTAAAAATCACTATAATGATGGGCCTCATCGCTGAAGATGATTTTTCGATAAAAATTAAGGTCAGTTGCCAACTGCTCCATAGTTCATTTAGCGAACACACGTCGTTGTCTATAGTTGTTTACCTTCAGTTCCTGGGTCAGTTGAATTTTGTATGGGTACAGACCCAAGTCACGGCGAAAGACGAAAGTTTGGAAGACCCTGTATAATACAACAGTATTAAGTACTTGATGATAGTTTTTTTTTCTGATTTTCTACAAATCCAGATGAATATTTACGTCAGAGTTGTCTTCATAAAAATAAAGCTGAGTACTAGGCAGAATTTGCGTTGCAAAATTGAGCCACTTATTTCATTTCTTTTTATTTTATACGGGACGGACACAATTAACTTGTTCAGATTTTTCATTGATTTATTAGTACCTGCACTGAGACTCTGCATACCACCGATACACTTTTGAATTCATATTTATTGATCGTTATCACCAAATTTATGTAACAACTTCTAGTATTTACATGTAGTCTACTCGAAGGTGACGTCACAAGCAGCATCGTTACACTTTGAAGTGTTTTGGTGCGAATTTTGAATGAATAAATTAAAGTGCGTTAATTTTAAACTAAATTTTTTTTAATGGAAAAATGATATGCGTTATAATTATAATATATGTCTTAATATAATAAAACAGTAGGTATTTCAAAATCTATCATCATGCGATTTGTAGAAATATGACCAGTGGTCCTTTTCTTGAACTACTCGTCTTTCGCAACGTATGTGCAGATGACGTCACATCGAACGATTTCAGAACCGCTATTCTGGAGTTAGGTAGGTAGAAAGGAGTACCTACCTTCTTTGTCTTCTTATCAGCATAAGTCGCCTCCACAAGTACGGAGCTTCCGCATGATTTTAACGGAGTTTTGTTTATGAAGCTGCAAAACTTTCGATTAATTTACAACTGTATCTGCAGATACATACGAACATAAAACTTGATAAAAGGCAGAACATCCTTGCTATTCCTTCATAGCTTCTACATTTCTATGTTACTTGAAAGAGTTTTAAAATGGGGCTTCGTGAAATGAAATGTCATGAATAAACTTTACGGAAACATTTGACAGTTTAGACTTTTCAGGTTTTATTATTTCCTTTTCTACTCCCAATTTCAATATATCTCAGTCAGGATTAGTAGAATCAGTGAGAGAATTCGTTTCTCTCAATTTTTTATATAAATCATTCGGTATTGCCAAAGAACATCCCATTTCTGTCATTTTCTTTAGCCAATTCTACCCGCCAATTCTACCCCGCAGATATCCGATTATCACTCGTAAACGAGTGTGTTTGAGGCTGACATTTGGATCTCTAAAATTTATATCTATCAACAATCGTAGTATGGACTTTTACATGTGATATCAAATATGAATGAACTAAAAAAAAATTCTTGGAAAATTCATTATGTGACTATAAACATTTTTCGAATGAAGTCTACCTACATACTACATGAGTTGAAAATATCATTTGCATCACCTTTCACTTTTTTCCTTTAATTTATAGGTGTCTTCAACGATGGAACGGAATTACGAATATCGAATATCAGGCACGAAGATATTGGTGATTATACCTGCATTGCTCGAAATGGTGAAGGTCAGATCTCTCATACCGCGAGAGTCATCATTGCTGGAGGAGCTGTGATAATGGTGAGTACACTGATTCATTCCATCATACAAACGAGGTTTAGTCAGAGCCGTCAGGGCCTTTTTTTCAACCAAAGGCTCAATAAGCTGATCCTGGTCTATACTTGATGAAAATCCATATCAAAACTCACTAATACACTCCACTATAGGATTGTTGTTATGAAGCTTATAACTAGAACCTCTAGCGTAGAATAAATCCTGAACAAGCTCTTTTCTTCCGAAGCACCTTAAATGCATCACTCTACTTAACGCACGTTTTACCAACCAAAGTTGGTAAAAGAAGAACACTGAAGACGTCAACTCAGTTGGCGAAACGCGGGATGAGAAAAGTATTGCATTCCTGAAGATTGGGAAATTAGCTTGTTTTGGATTTACAATAGCTTCCTCAAGTAGGACGAATATTGAAATAGCTCTACATCAACAAAGTTCTTGGTTCTTATGTCATTGTTCTGAAGAATGTACTAGTGTTATGTAGGATCTTCAACTTATTAAAGAGGGGGTGTAACATTCTGGTTGAAAAACTACTCGAGTGCAACCTTTACCCAAAAAGGCAATAAAAAGTTATAGAACAGTTGTTTTATTATGACTTGTATCAAAAAGCATGTAGAAAGTTATAAATTGGCACATTCTTCAGTATTTAGAATGATTTATCATCTTGAGCGATCATCATTATGATATCCAGAAGCAAAAGCTAACACACGACCTTCCTACATAAGTTACCGACATTTAGAACAATCCCATCGAGACATGGGGAGTCACGATTTCTCCAAAACCTTTGACAGTGTTTGGCATGCGGGTTTACCAATTAAACTTTGATTTTATCGTTCCTTACAAGTAGCCATCGATAGTTCTATTTCTAATAACCATATCAACGCTGATGTTCCACAGGGATCCATATTATCGCCAACCGTTTTTATATTATACATCAACGATCTATCAGAAACAACAAAACAAATCCAATGTTTTGCTTTGCTGATCACAGCACATTCCTTCTTCAAAATTCGATGCATGAACATCAACTACCAATGCAAATCTTTGGCGAAAGCAAGGTATTTTATATTCCGTAGACGTAAATTTGGCAACTCCTCCGTGAACGAAGTCACGGACTTATATTGCTCACGGAGCCTCAAGCTCACCTCACTTTGAAGGCCACATGAATGGAACAATCGTCAACTCAGTCGGTCATTGTTTTTGATGATGAATATCTGTAGAGATGACCATCTGGCAGAGATGGCGCCACTTCACGGTTAGGTATTTCACTATGTTCCACGAAGATCTGATAGATGGTTCTCAGGATTACATGAAATACTTTTTACATTACGCTGACCGACTGTTATTATTTAGACAATGCCTCGACCCAACGATCGGCTTACTCTATTCCCTAACGCTACCTATCAAATCGATTGATAATTCTGCAGTCCAAAAATGGTAGTTTTTGCTAAGTTTGTGAATGGACTACGCAGGAAGCAAATAGATAGCACCAGTATCTTAAATAAAAAAAGCGTAGATAAGGAGAACTAACCTAAAAACTGAGAAAATTAAAGAAATGTGTTCTACCGTCAAGCTCACCATGCTTAAGACTTCTAGACTGGTTGGCCACTGTCGTGTGATATGAAACCTTTCCATAGGTCTACATCAAGCCCACTTGTGATATACCTGGATGGTCCCAGAAGGACCCGGCCTGACCTAGAGATTGCGGTAGTTGTATTAGAACTGTACTGGACAGTACACAATCTATAAAGCATATGTTTCAAGTTTGAAGACGCTGCGTTGTTCAGTATTAGTTTGGCAGCCATCAATAGCAACGTTAAGTCTGCTCCTTCGTCTTCCATCGTTAAGTCTGCAATATTTTACTGCTCCAACAGTAAAATATTGGGTAGCAGAGTTTAAACGAGGCCTTACGAGCTGCCAAGACGAGCATCGCAGTGGTCGACCAAATGAGGTGACTTCTCCAGAAACGATAATAATAATAATTATAATAATGTTTATTTCATAAGACTGAATACATATACATATAAACAAGAAGAAATGCAGAAATAAACATGACAAGCCACTGAAGCTCATAGAGCTTGTGTATGACAAAAAAAAACTGAAAGAATAAACTAAGTTAAGACGTTTTGTGTGTGATGTCAGTTGAAAAGGAAAAATAAATGAAGATATCATGAACATGAATCAGTGAACAAACAATATTACAAACAAAACTATCGGTCATAACATTCATCATTCATACACCATATACGTAGAGTAATTCAAACTCATATGTCTTATATTTCAGTCAATGTTTTGTTCTTAATATGGTCCTTGATGACTGCACTTTTGTAGACTTGCTCCCTGTTCTTGCTATCTTGAAACCGGTATTTTCTGGAATATGGAGTATTATGAATTTGTTGCTCACCAGGAGGATACTCAAATACACCTTGAGTATCAGCAACAAAATAGTTGGTCTTGATCGGCCGATTTTTATTTTATTTTATTTTTTTTTCATTTTCCTCATAATTGCTATCATGAAACTGGTTTTCCCTAGAATTAAAGATGTTCTAAATTTGTCGCCTACCAGGAGAATACTTGAATACACCTGGATAATCAGTAACAAAATAATTGAAACCGATCGGCTGATTTATAAAATATTCAAAGGGAAACTTCATTAGGCGTGACCATGGATTAACTCTGATTTTTTTCTGATGGAAGTTACGCTAGTCAGTTCGTCGTCTTTTCAGATAGTTTCAGCTATTCAAAAATAGTTGACTGTATAAGTCGTGAGTATTTGTAATGTACTCCGTGTCTCTTGATTTATAGGTGAATTAGGGGCAGAGATCATAATCAATCAAGGGATTATTTACTTTCCAAATACTTTAATTCAAGAGGAAGTCAGTTCCAAGATGACGAAAGCAGAAAAAATTAAGAAAGAAAAAATTGCAAAAATCAGCTCATTGGTTCCACTTCTTTTGTTGTTGGTTTGTCATGTATATCTTCAAGTACTATCAATTTGGCAAAAAATTTACAGCTCTTTTCATTCGAGAAAAAAATCAGTTCGAAGATAGCAAAATTAGGAAAATTAAAGAAAAAATATTCGGACTATTTTGTTTATGATTCTTCAAGTGTATTTGAGAACTCTTCTGTTGAACAACAAATTTAGAATACTCTGTATTCAAGGAGAAAGCAGTTTCAAGTTCTTGCTGAACGAGGAAAATGAAAAAAAAACTTGAGACTCGGCCGATCGCTTTCAACTATTTTGTTGCTGATACTCAAAGTGTATTTGAGTATACTCCTGGAAAGCAACAAATTCAGAAAACACTGTATTCCAGAAAAACAGTTTCAAGATAGCAAGAACAGGGAGAATATAAAAAAATATTAAAAATCAGCCGATCAAGACCAACTATTTTGTTTTCCTTCCCAGGAAAACCAGTTTCAAGATAGCAAGAACGAGGAAAATGAAAAAAAAAAAAATTAAAAATCGTCCGGTCGGTTTCAACTATTTTGTTGCTTATACTCAAGGTGTATCTGAGTATACTCCTAGTGAGCAACAAATTTGAAACACTTTTTATTCTAAGGAAAAACCAGTTTCAAGATAGCAAGATCAGAAAAAAAATCATAAAAAAAAATTTCGCTATATCCAAGGTTTAGCAACTGAATAGTAACTAAATCTTCTGTAAAGATCAAAAGAAAAGTATATAATTTATTGAGTTACCTTGTTACCTTTATATCACAATAGCATTATTTGCGATTTCTAGGGATCGACACGAGCAACAAAATCGTTGTTGAATTTCACTAGTTCGGACTTCCATTGTCTACTATATAAAATGATTTGAAATCCATGAAACAACTAAAAAAGAAGAATTAAAAATGAATAGCTGAAAATGAGAATTATAGTAACCAAAATAAACCTGAAATGAAATAATAGTGAAATAAAATACAAGTAAAAATAGAAAGAAAATAAAAATAAAAAGTGGAGCGATTCCAAGTCACGTTAGTTCACCACGTTTCGATTATTAGTATCTACAATCGTCTTCGGGTGATGACTGGACTGATTCCTCCGAGAGATGACTATTTATAGGTCGTTCGAGTACTTTCACTTATCCCCGCTTTCCATTTTCCGCTTCACTGGTTCCGTGGGAGATGACCGTTTTGGCGGGAGTTGGCCATTTTTCGCTTGATGATGGGTTTCCATATGTTGCGTATTTCTACGCTGGCTTGGCTGAATACGTTGTTGGACATGTATGCGGCTTCCTTGAATTTTCTCCTAGACCAATGTTCCTCTCTGTGCTTGGGACCACTCGATGTTGTGTTGATGGGTCCAAACATGGTCTGCTATTCCTGATTTGCTGGTTTCCCCTCGCTGTGTGTGTTTCTTGTGCTCGGCAATGCGAACATTCAATGGCCTCTTAGTTTCACCAATATAGGATTTTCCGCTCTCACAGGGTATCCGGTAAATGCAATTCTTGGAATCGCAGTCCGCGTTTGGTTTTTTATATAGTAGACAATGGAAGTCCGAACTAGTGAAATTCATCATGAAACATTGTCAATCACCTTCAAACACACGTTAAAATCGTTGTTTTGGCAACTACTCAGCTAAAAATTGATGTATTTTTTTGCAATTTTGCTGGATTCGCCATGCTAGCCTGATAGGGCTATATTTCATGTCGGTCGGTTACACCGGTCAAATAGTCAAATGAATATTATATTCTAAGTCTTCTTGTTTCAGGTACCTCCCACCAACCAAACCAAGCTGGAAGGTGAAAAAGTCCAGTTCAACTGCGAGGCGAAAGCGCAGCCCGGCAACGTAACGGTGAAATGGTTCCGAGAGGGCGCGCCAGTCAAGGAGCTGGCGTCTCTCGAAACGAGGGTCACCATCAGGCGGGACGGATCATTAGTCATAAATCCGGTCAGCTCCGACGATTCCGGACAATATCTGTGCGAAGTGAGCAACGGCATCGGCGAGCCGCAGTCCGCCTGGGCTTATCTCAACGTAGAATGTGAGTGGAAATTCATTTTCGAATTGAATCTTTCGTTTCCTCATTTTTTAAGCAGATATGAAGCGGAAGTTTGAAAGAACAATTTATTAACGGCAGAGTAATAGCTCAGGGACTGGAAAGAAGTTATAATAATGTATCACAAACTTTGACTAAAATATTATACAGGGTGTTTCTCAATAACATGCCGATATTTGAAGACGATGGACCGCTTTGAGAAAAAAAATTATGTCCTAAAGGTTTGTTTGGAAGTGTTTAATATTGTTTCATAGTGAATTTTACAAGTAAGGCTTCTATTAACTGATATGATTCGTAAACTATGAAAGGACATATAAAATTACAATGAATAGCTAAAATATTAATTATATATACTACAAGGGCTGTTGAGCTCACTGCTGAGCAAGAACAAGAACGTCTTGATGATTCTGAGCAGTATTTGGCAACGTTTGAACATGACAAACCAAAATTTTTGCATCGATATGTGACAATGGATGAAACATGTATCCATCCCGTCATTCAGGAATCAAAACAATTATCATTTGAGGGGAGAGCAACTGGTGAACCTCGTCCAAAGCGCCTGAAAGCACAACATCGGCTGGAAACGTTATGGCCTCCTTATTTTGGGTTATGCGTGGTGTGATATTCATCGACTATCTTGAGAAGGGAAATAACCCCAACAGTGAATATTATATAGCGTTATTGGAGCGCTTGAAGGCCAAAATTGCAAAGAAACGACCGCATACAGCAAAAAAAATGTCAAGACAACGCATCGTGTCACAAGTCAATCAAAACAATGGCAACTACATGAATTGAACTGCGAACTGCTCCCACATCCACCGTATTCACCAGATTTGGATCACATCGAATGAAGAGAGTATTGCTGAAACTGTGAGGCCTATTTTGAGTCAAAAGATAACTCGTTCTATAAAAGTGATATTGACATGATTGTGTGGTTCTTCATGGAATTACGTTGATGAATAAAGCCAATTTTGAACAAAAAAAAACGCGTTTTTTCTCTTAGACCCGGGACTTTTCACCCCATGTGTTTACTATAAGTAATAAAAGATGAAATGAATACAATAAAATAAATGAAATGAAATAATCAAGAGAAAAGATGAAAATTACCACGGAGTGAAAATAATTAAAAAATCAAAATGAGCAAATAGCAAATAAAGCGAATAAAAATATATAAGAAGATAAAGTAAAAAAATTAACAGATTCACCTCCCGACGTTTCAATTCTTATCATCCACAATCGTCTTCGGGTGATGACTGGACTAAGGGCAAACGCACACTACAGACTTTTTATCAAGCGATAGTTTAGTCTGGTTGGGCTGGGTGAGAGCACACTACTCAAACAAAACTGTTCGGTTCGGTGCGGGTGCGCAGACCACCAACTGAAAAGTCTGAAGAGTTGTTGATGTATATAATATATTGACGCGTTGTATCGAAAGTATTGAAGAATGTTATCGAGGAAAGCTATTATATTAACATCGAAATATTCCTTTAATGCTTCATTTTATAATGCAGGTCGCAACTTCCGCAATTGAATTTTCTACTGAACATTCGGCAATATTCGACATAATTATGAAAAAATAATATGTAATGAAAACGCAAATATATTCAAAGATAAAGTAGGTACTGGATATTATTTTATATCAGATATCAATAATGGAATGTAGAGTGGGGAGTCTGCAGGCACCGACTGTTTAGTTGGTGAGTCTGCGCACTCTCATAAACAAACAGTCTGATCAGAACTCGGCCGATAGTTGTCCAACTTTGTAATTGAATCAGAATTGGGAAGCCTATCCAACTTTTGGGAACTTTTGGCTTTCTACTACTCCATCTTGATACAAAAAAAAAGGATGAGGAAATTTTCCAAAGGAAGGAAGGAAGTAATCAATTTGAAAATGAGTAACTCTATACTATATGAAGCATTTGAACATTTTTTCAATACACTACTCTGGCACTTTGATGTATCCTGTCCATACAAAAAGACTTCCATCAAAAGGGCACGCAAGTGTTGGATATCTAATGATATTATTGAGGAAAGAAGGAATCTAAGGGAAATATTCTGGATAGTCTCAAACTCTGAGGAAACTGAGCCTCATTTGCTCGAAGGATATAAATTGAGATTGAGAAATCACAAACAAAATATAAAATCAGCAAAGAAAAGGTTATTTAATACCAGAATTTGCAATTCTGAAAATAAAACAAAAGAAACGTGGAAGATAATAAATCATGAACTTGGAAGGAAGAATGGTAAATCAGATACTTAGGGACAGTGACTTAGTAACGGATCCTCATGCTGTTGCAAATCTATTTGTTGAATACTTTTCCAAAGCAGCTGTTAATGCGGCATCAAATCATTTTGGCCAAAATTTGTCTCTTCCATGTACTACCTCTAAGGCATGTAATCCAACGGAACTGTTTATTTCTCTTCCTATTACCGACTATGAAATAGTCAGTACTCTTGATGGAATGAAAAACAAAAAATCTGCTGGATATGACGAACTATCTGTAATTACCCTGATGAAAATAATATTTGCTATTATTAAACCATTAACGTTCCTCATGAATCAATCTGTTATACAGGGCTATTTTCCGGAGGCTCTCAAAAAAGCTATTATCATTCCTGTGCATAAAAAAGGAAGTCCAACGAACATTGAGAACTATAGACAAATTTCACTCCTGAGTTCAATTTCCAAACTTTTCGGAAAAGTAATTGCAGTCAGAATAACGAATTATTTGGAATATAATAATATACTGTCTGATTCACAACACGGATTTCGGAGAAACAAATCTATCGAGACAGCTTCGTATCACTTACTAAGCCACATACATGATGAAATAAACAAAAACAAGTGTGTTCTATCTTTATTTTTTGACTTATCCAAAGCCTTTGATATGGTGTGTCCCGAGTTTCTTAGCCGTAAACTTCAAGACATAGGTCTTCCGGGTAATATTAGAAATTGGGTCTTATCTTTTGTGAGTGGGAGAAATATGATAGTCAAGTGTAACGGGACATCCTCTACGGCCAAAAACGTTGAACTTGGCGTACCTCAGGGCTAGGTACTAGGTCCACTACTGTTCCTCTTATATATCAATGACCTACCCCAAAATATAGTAGATGCTCACCTAACAATGTTTGCTGATGATACTACCATAACTGTTTCTGGAAATAATGTTGAACAACTCATCAGCAAATCAGACATCATAATCGATATATTCAGTGCATGGTGTCAAAAAAACAAACTTATTTTAAACACGAACAAGTCTGTATCGTTGAAGTTTCACTTTAGTAGAGATAACCTAGTAAATCCGATCATAAATGATATCGAAAGCTCTTTTGAAGTGAAATTCTCATGTACCTACCTAGACTCTCACTTAAACTGGGAAAAGCAAGTCGATCACACTTGCTCTAAAATGAATAAAGGTTACTACGCCCTTAAGCAACTGAAATCAAGTTTAGATGAATCCGGCCTGTTCAGCATCTACTATGCTATGGCCTATTCTCATATGAGCATGAACATACTTGTCTGGGGTATGGCTAAACATTTCTCTCGAATATTTCTAGCCCAGAAAAGAATAGTAAGCTACAGGGACAGCTATCGACCTATCTTCATAGAGAAGAAAATTCTTACAGCTCCTTCCATTTTCATCTTCAAATCCATAATGTTTGCCAGATTAAACCTACACCTATTCAGAGAAAACTCCTCCGAGCATTACTATAATACACGTAATGGTGACCTTTTTAGAATTCCCCAACATAGAATGACACTTTTTAAGAAGTCTGCCCAGTACAATGCCATTACTTGCTTTAACAAGTTACCAACTGAAGTTAAAGGAATTAGAAGCGACATAAAATTTCAGGCAATCATAAAAAACATTTTAATAGATAAGTGCTATTATAGTTATCAAGAATTCTTGAATGACAACCTCACAAACAACTCATTGTGAATTTATGTTTGTAGATATATATGTGTATGTGTGTAAATATAAACCTATATTTTCAAATGGGTGTGTGTGTTTACGTGTATGTGAAATTTAAGTTATGCGTTTAATAGACCTAGATTTAGGTACCTTATTTTTACATAAATATACCTGTGTGCTTTATATTTCATATATTATATTTTAACATTTAAATTTTAGTTTTTTAACTTATTACATGGATGTGTAGATCGTGCAAAGAAGTAACTTTCATACATAAACTGAAAGAAAGTCCTCCTCATTATTTTTTTTGTATCAAGATGGAGTAGTAGAAAGCCAAAAACTTTCTTTCCCAAAAATTGAATACTCCTAAAAATATAACCCCTTCAATTCCTATCCAACTTGTTTCTGATTATTCAGTCGGCCGACTGGAATCGCTCAGATGTGCGGACTTACATTACGATTCTATACTAATGAGCATCCAACTAAACTATCGGCCGATTAATAATGATAATTCTTTATTTCCAGTAGGACAATAAAATTGTGTAGGAAGTGTCAATACAATACAAATTAAAAAAAAAGAAAAGAAAAGAGGAAGACAGACTATGCATTATTCAAAGAATTCCGGCAAAGCATAAAAACCTTCTTCTGATAAATATTTTTTGAACAGAGAAAAACTATTCAAGGCTTTCAAATAATCTGGAAGGTAAATATATATCTTTGGATCTATGTATTCTGGTCTACATGATGTTACTTTGAATCTAGCTAATGGCAAATGAAAATGGTTCTTGGTTCTAGTATCATGTTGGTGAAGTTTTAGATTTGTTGTAAAGCTTGATTTACTTTTGAACACATACATACATAGTTCAAAAATATAAACTGATGTTAAAGTTAAAACGCCGAACTCATTAAAAAGTGCCTTGCATGATTCTCTATTAGAAAAATTTGCTATGCACCTCAGAATTCGCTTTTGTGATATAAAAACATTTCCTGCTGTGGTGAAACTACCCCAGAAACAGATACCATACCTAAGTCTTGATTCTACTTGAGCATAATATATATTCAGCAGCTGACTCTTTGTTAAAACTGTTCGTAAATTGATGAAGAGACACTACAATGAATTAAGTTTTGATATTAATTGTTGACAGTGACCTTTCCAATTGAGGAACTCATCTAAAATGATTCCCAAGAATCTTACATTGTGATCAGTATTTGTTAGGGTCACATTGTTTACCATGAAATGTACGTTTTCCACTCTGTTTTGCCAGTTGTGAATACGAATAACATCTGTTTTGTCTGCATTGAAAAATAAATCGTTGTTATTGAAATAATTTGATATCCGCCTTACTATTCTCGCACAATTGTTTTGAAATTCTTTTGTATCTGGTGCAGATATAACTAGCGAAAAGTCATCTGCATTAGCGGTATAATGACCTTCGGTAACTACTGATTCAATGTTATTTACATAGAGTACAAACAGTAAAGGACCCTTTATTGAACCCTGTGGCAATCCCATACTTAGATTCAAATATTCAGAATTGACCCTATAGATTTCATTTTCCCTCTCAACTTGAACTGACACATATTGTTTTCTATTTTCCAGAAATGATGTCAGCCAACTGGGAGAACCCATCTTATTTTCTTTTATAATGAAAACATTGCTGTATTAATTGATTTTTCGGAACGAAATCCATGTTGCATTTGACTCAATATGAAATGAACAGAGGCGTGCAAGAAAAGCGTATTCAAAAACTTTAGACAATACAAAGGGAACTGTAGTAGGGCGATAATTTTCCATTAATGTTGGATCCTTTTTTTTTAAAATGGGTATAATTTTTCCAGTTTTTAAATGTTTTGGAAGAACACCTACTGTAAATGACATATTAATCAAATGTGTCAAAGACGCAATAATTACAGGAAGAACTCTTTTTAATATGAACATAGGTATTTCATCTGGACCTGATAATTTTTTATTTTTTAGTTTGTTATTTAATAGTATAAACAATTCGTCACCTGTTTATGGAATCAAATACATCGTGTGAGGATTGAAATCTACTAATTTTTCAAATTCACTGTTTGTAGAGCGTATTTGATTCACTTAGTAAGAGTGTTGATAAAAAAAGTATTAAACAAGGAAGAGATAGTTTCTGGGTCTTCTATCAGCTGGTCATCCAACCTAATATTTATGTCATTGTATGTTCTGTGTTTATTTGTTAATTCAGATACCACATTCCATGAGGCACGGCTCTTATTAGGGGCTTTATATATCTTATCTTCGTAATATTTTTTTCTTTTTTTCTTCAATTTAGGCATGGTGTTTTCTCTTTGCCTCTTTATAGACTGGTAAAAAAGTTGAATATGTATTTTTTAAAGTAAACAAGTCTCTCAATGATGTACCAGATTGTATGATTGAATCATCTACCCATCTCTTATTATTGTCCTTGAAATAAAATCTTTTTTCAGGAAAATTTGAATTGAAATGGTTGAGTAAAATTTCATAAATATAGTTGAAAGCTTCGATAAAATCTGCAATTCTGTAAACATTTTCCCACTGTTCATAACTCAATGAGTTTTCAAAATTTATGCTGTTACTTTCATTGAAGTTTCTCTTTATTTCACTTTTGACGTGACTGACTTTATCCTTATTCAAAGTATCCAGCTCTAAAAGTGCTATTCTATGATCAGAAATATTGTTGTCTAAAACACAGCAAGTAGCACCATTAGAAAAATTTATAAAAATCTGATCGATTATTGTTGATGTGGTATCCGTTACTCGGGTAGGCCATCCTATTAACGGAATTAAATTAAAACGAGATAAAACCGTACACAATGAATTAAAGTTTTCGTTTGTATACATGTCAAAGTTAAAATCACCGCGGAGTATAAAATGGATTCTGGGTTTGTACATATAGTCTTACATCTCAGAAATCTTATCTAAAAATAAATTAGCATCTCCACTAGGAGCTTTATAACAGTTTAAAATAATATTTATGCCACGCTTTGTTTTAAAGGAAGCGGCACAAATTTCAAAATGTTGTTCGACACAAAATTTCGATACATCTATGGATTTCATTTCAAAACGTGGTGGGCCCACATGCTAACTCCTCCACAGCGCATAGTTGGTCTGCAGTAGATACTAGTTGGTTTATAATTTTCAATATGTGTGCAATTTAATTGAATTAAAAGTCGGTAGTGTGCGCTTGTCCTAAGTGTGCTTCACCGGTTTAGCAGTGATGAGTGAGAAATAATATGGAAGAAGAAACATGTTCTACAAAATCAGATACTTGAAACTCCTGGAATGAATTATTATGTACATCTAATCGAAATAGTTTTTCGATTTCATTCAAAGTGAATATCTAGTAACTCAATATATTAGTTCGTAGTTGCAGTTTGTTAGTTGTAATCATCAATAATTTTTTTCTAGATCCCGCCAAGGTAACTTTCACTCCCACTATACAGTACCTTCCCTTCCGATTGGCTGGAGTTGTACAGTGTTACATCAAAGCCAATCCCCCTCTACAGTATGTCACGTGGACTAAAGATAAGCGATTGTTGGAGCCTTACCAGACCAAAGATATAGTGATTATGAATAATGGCTCACTTTTGTTCACAAGAGTGAACGAAAATCACCAGGTCAGTTTAACTTTCACTACTTATAATTTTTGTATTATTATATAATGTAGAAACATTCGAATCAATATTTAGAAATTATATTTCATTCTGTTATTCCTTCATTTCTGTTTTAATATTCATGAAACAATTGATGTGCTTCAACTGTTTGATGGAATCGGCCGATAAGCAGAATATATGAATAATTTAACATTTTCTTCTTCAGGGTCGATATACCTGCACACCTTATAACGCACAAGGTACTCAAGGTAGTTCTGGACAGATGGAAGTGTTGGTGAGGAAGCCCCCAGTATTTACCATCGAACCTGAAGCAATGTACCAACGGAAAGTAGGAGAAACTGTCGAAATGCATTGCGACGCTCAGGAAGCTGAAGGCACCCAAAAACCTTCAATTCAGTGGCAAAGAAGGGATGGTGAGAAGACATTTTCTATTTCGTTTATTCTATTTGAAGTAGTTCTTCCTCACCAAGAGATACACTTGCCATTGGACGAACTGTTTAAGTTCACTACACAACTCTCAATATTACTTTTAACTCACTATTATTTTTGAAATCAGCCTTTGAGTTTTTTGTTCTTACGGTATGGTACTTTTTTCAGGAACACCCCTGCCAAAAAATCGTGTGAAAATACTGGGTGGGAACATAACAATAGAGTCTCTTAGGCGATCCGACTTCGGCTTCTACCAGTGCATTGCCACCAACGAAGTAGCAACGATTATCACGGCAACACAGCTAGTAGTCGAAGGTGAGAATCAACTTTTCTATTGTATGTGTCAGCTCGGGAAATTCTTCAGGTAAAATATTCCAAACTGACAGTTAATCTATGTTAATATGTAACAGTTGATGTCTAACCCCAATTTCAATTTTCATAACTGGCTAACAAAGTCATGAGAAACGTCAAAGTACATTTGGGTAGATTGATATCAGAGAAAAACTCAAATTACTCAATGTGACATGTCATCACATCAAATTAAAATTATAATAAATACAAATTTTATTCACACAGACATAATGTTGTTGGTGTCTGTAATTTCTAACCTAGTTGTGATCAAACCATCAACTCAAGAACATTATTTTTCATTTTGCTGAGCAGAATAATGATAGCATAATAATACACTAGCAAACAGCATGACGGCAGATAGAAAAAGGTCGATTTATGTTATCGAAATTTACCTAATCCAAGTACAGGTGGGTCGGTAGCCTAGTGGGTTGACGTTTGTGGTTTGTTTCACTCACTTAAACAACAGCCGTGCGAACCGGTGGTTCGAACTGCAGAGTCGGACGATCGATTTTCACTTCCTTCCGTCCAACCCGTGTTAGGAATCCCACGTTAAAAGGTTTGATCTCCATAATCCTTAGCTCGCATAAGTTTCGACTTTTGAGAGGGAGGCGACCGCTGGTTAATGAAAAAACAGATTCTAACAGGTATTAGCACACTCAACAATCCGAGACACCATAAATACGCTTTACACAGCCATAATATCCCGTCATCGGATATTTTGGGATACCTCGCACTAGCGAAATGTCAGGAAGAAATTTATGTTATGGGGGAAATTCTGAACTCGTGATAATGGATCAAGTTGGAACCATGAGACCAGGAAATATAATTACTACTAGAAATGTCTAGCTTATTTTTCAAAGCGTGTTCAGCCACTGCAAGCTGTAGTCTAGCTAACCGGGTAACTCATTCCCGTGTCACAGTAGATTCTTTTACCACGCGATCCGCCCGAGTTGCCGTTGACCTTCAACCGCTCTTAGGATGAGATTCTCATCCAACGCGTTCAGTGCTGTAGTATCAAAGGATTCGACGGTACACGAGCTGTCGCGTCTTCGAATACTTAAAAAATAATACAAATGAAAACAAGAGTGGACTGTATGAATTGTGGCATAAAGCGAACTCACCGAATTCCTAGCACAAATCCCTGCTTCTGAAAGGGCCCTTTCTTGGAGTGTTCTTTCTTCAGCTTCACTGGATTGTACAACAAAACGGGAAGTTAAANGGAGTGTTCTTTCTTCAGCTTCACTGGATTGTACAACAAAACGGGAAGTTAAATGAGTTACCAAACAGTCGAAGATGACACAGAGTCTAGAGCACACACGGTGAAATAAGTAATTAGCAAAAATAATAGCGATTCACGTAGCGTACTTAGCATGAGATCGTAGGTAGGTCTCTATTCATCTATGGTTCTGATAGATAAACAGACTTCAATCGAGTCTTGAGCATGCGCCCTTAGAAGTCGCTCCATGCCAACAATAATAATAGTAATAAAAACAGAAAATTACAAATAAAGACGCAACACGAGCATTGGATTAGTTATAATGAACGGTCGGAAATTGATATTGTGTTTAGTTTATTCGCTGTTGTTATTGTTGTTTTTAGTTTTTGTAGTTGGTTATAAGTAACTTACCACAAAATCTTCTATAATATCTTTAATTTCGTTTTTATATGAGCGCACGCCTATGGTAAAAGAACGAAATTGGCTCCACACTTCGTTTCGAGGTCACCGAGAACTTTGTAAATGTATGAATGAAAGTAGTGGGAGTGGACTTCTTGGTTGATTTTTACTATTCCTGTGTCCTAGTAGTCATTGGTGTATTGATTGTGGTACTATGTTGGTACTATGAAGCAAAATATATCAATGCACTGGCAACAGTGTGCTGAATGAAGAGACGCCCTTGCCATTTAAATACCGTCAATTTTGATTGAACTTACTTTATGGATGATTTTGTGAATGAGTCCGTTATATACTATAACAATGACCGAAAAAGGATTCGTCGAAGTTCAGCCAGAGATGGCGGATTTTTTTTTCGAATAATTCATTGTTTGCATCTGCGGAAATGCGAAGCGTTAAAGCCGAAAGGTAGAATTTTCCTGGGAATGAAATACGCAAGTGTAGGTAATCTCGATAGCATAACGAAATTCTTCGACTCATAAAGGGTTATTTTCAGCCTTTCTCCACCTTCACATGGTAAAACGCATACCTCATCTGTAATAGGATTGGTTCGAAAATAAGTGTAGAATGAGAGAAAACCAATTTTATTCGATGTCTGCTGAATTTTCTGCTGACAGCTATCAGCGTTTTGTTGAATTAAACAACTAAATCCGTGAAAAACTGATTCAAAATACATTTAAACAATGAATAAGAGAACCAACAATAATTCATTATGGTATCTGAAACTCACCTAAAACCAGGCACACTTATTCTGTCCGATCATTTAGCAGAAACTATTAAAATGATGAACGGTCAGGTAAAGTCATCTAGTTGTATACTTATCAACCTTTCGAAGGAGAAACCACACGACCATATAAAGGATGGTTCTGCTACAAATCTTCCATGCAAATATGCCAAAAAATATGTACCTTTTATCTCCTGAGCCTCCAAAAGCTGCTATATTATACGTAATTATATCAATATTGAATGGAGTGGTATCAAGTGTTTCCTTTTTTTTTACTTTACGAAATTAGCTATCTCTGGTTGGGTTTTCTATTGAAATTCCATGCTCATAGAACCTTTCATATAATTCTGAAATGTTTCGAATCGTTAACATATTTGAATGTGTTCGCCGCAAAATGCTCTTTGAGGAGCAGAACCTTGTTGGTACATCTATGTGACTCAGTAGTTAGTACACGCTTGGTATGAGTTTGACCTTTCTGGAGTTCCTCGTAGAAAGGTCTGACAAATCTTCAATTAATTGTTGCCCTATGATGAGGAAAATTATTGTTCTATTTTGTAGCTTTGCTAGAAGCTATTATTTTCGACCCACTTCTGTAGATTTGTAGCAAAATAGCTCAGCAGATCTGCCAAATTCGAGTAGGAGATGCTGTGTTTTCATCACTTGTTTGAAGAAAAAAATTATTGTTCAATTCAAATGTATTCATTAATAAAAAAAACACTTGTACTTCGAATAATTCGTGTCTTTCATTCTTTTTTTTATCCAGGCACTCAACCCCATGCCCCATATAACCTCACTGGGACTTCTACTGAATTCGCGGTGACTCTCAGCTGGTTACCTGGCTACAGCGGAGGTCCTGACTACAAGCAAGATTACACCATATGGTACCGCGAAGCCGGTGTCTCCGATTGGTCGACAATCCCAGTCACGCCTTCCGGAAGTACCCAGGTTACCATCAATAGACTGGCTCCTGGTACGACTTACGAATTCCAGGTGGTCGGCAAAAACGCCTTAGGAGACGGTATGATGAGTAAGATCGTTACCGTTAGGACTCTAGGTGAGTTTTTATGACTGATTCAGATTCAGATTATGACTAGCTTCAATAGATTATCAAGGCTTCGTCACTTCTCAGAAGCAACACCCTTGTATCATTTGAGATTGAGTTGATATCTTTTATATGTACAATACTGAAAATTCCTAATCTTCACAATGAGTTTGTGAAGTAGGTTATAGGTTACCTTAGATTAGAAGTGAGTCTATTTGACTCTCCACCACAACCCGCAAGGGTTCATTGTGGCTCACTTCTATTCACACTCGACCAAACAAACTCTGCTTTTTAACGAAGCCGATTTGTTTGTATGGTGAGTGGTCTTTCAGGTCAGATGTTAAGAGTACGGCTCTGCCAAACTCTGAAAACCTGACTCAGTCCTCAGCGGGGTGGGAACAAAGTATGTTCTCTGCTGTTTCATCATTTTCCAAACGGAGGCGACACACACTGTCTTCCGACAGACCGAGTCTGCATATGATGATTCAAATGATAGAAGGCCTGTTAGTTTATCCCTAGTTTATCCCTAGTATAGTCCAACAACTTTGGTATCAAGCTTCGAAGGTGAATAAACGCCTTGGAGTGGAAGATTCCTGGAAGATTCTACCAGAAGTCCATAAATTTTTTTGCCGTCCAGGTGGTCAATGTTTCTTTGGAACAGCCTAAAGTGATGCCAATGACAGGTTCTGGTCCGATGAAGCAGTATTCCGAAATTACATAGAATCAATTCAAAATACAATGTTGCCAGATGCAAATTCAATTAATTTTCATTTAGGAAATTTTCAAGCTACTATAATATTTCTTTTTTCCCTGGAGGTAAATTTTAACTATTTTTCAAGAAATGGTTCGATATAAGTCAAGATATCACTCTGATAAGTTTTGAATTCTGTTAATTTTTTATACCAAACGCCATTATTTTAAAAGTTCATAAGTTTTCGAAGAAGAAAATGGGGATTTTGAGGATATAGACAAAGTGAACTTGGTCTGTACTTATTTTACTGTATAGTTGGGTCGGCGAAAGAATACACGAAATTTACCACACAAATAGTTATTTTAACAACTAATGAACCAACTGTAGTTATGTCATATTTCACAGTAAGTACATTTTTCGTCATGATTTGAGAATCTTATGTTCCACATACTGGAATTTTTTAAAATATCATATGCCGGAGTTGAAAAAAAAAATATAAAATGTTGTTAAAGAATAATTAATAAATTGCTGACGAATTCAATGAAATTGACTCCAAATCATCAAATGTCAAAAATAGAAATAATTCTTCTTTGACATTTGATGCACACATTATTGAAGCATATGTATATTTTCGTCAAAAATTCACCTTATTTTTTTACCAGACCTTGTACACCCTTTACTGTAACTGATACTCAAATCCATCTCGAATAGTACGGGTAGTGATCGAATTAAATCCTCTCCTCCTCTTGAATCAATTTGGTATTCCGAACGGATTACAACAAATGTAGTCCATCAAATCAACATACACTGATTGCCTTGAAAACTTGTGTGCCTAGGCTTGGTTGCCGGCTAAATCGGATCCAGCACAATGCAAATTTCACTAATATCATCTGATTAATCCAATTTTCGTACATATACTAACGATGTTTGTTTGTTTGTTTGCTTTCTCAATGGAACAGAAGTTGGCTTACCGCACCAGATCAAAGTTACTCCTACTCCTTTCCTCACTCCGAATTCGGGTAAGAAATTTTCACAAAATTACACTTGTTGACTGTAGCTTACGATTATAGCAGATTTATAATACTTTTCAAGAATTTTTGTTTTCATTTGTGAAATTAAAGGGACAATCATCGATGCACTTTCTTTTCTTCGTTCTTAAAGCTATCAATACTTTTGAGAGATATTAATCTTTTACCTTAGAACCTTTAACTACACGCGTTGGTGTATTATATGCACCACTATTCGAAAATGGACCATAAGTTTCCACAAACTCTTCAGGCTTGAAACCTTACACTGGAGTGTCGTCCTCAATTATCTAAGAATTGCCGTTTGAGTAGTGTCGAGTAATTTGAATATTTGAGCCGTAAATCACTATAGTGAACAGAATACACCACGCGTGTATGTCGCAACCATGTTTCGTTTCGTGATTTAGTGTTTGACTCATATTGATTGAATGAATATTATCATGATATTATCGAACATTTATTTTCAAAAAACGGTATTTATAAAGTGTGTAAAAGCCAAATGGAATAAATTAATTATTTCGGTTACGGTACATATTTTAACAAAATTCCGAAACACGTCGAATTCAAATTATAATTTGACATACTTCAACGGAAAAATTACCCCTTCTTTCAACCCCCGTCGAATGACAGGTACAACCCCAATTTTTCAAATGGGAAGTATAGGCTTGTGATAAATAGTTTGAAAGGTCTCTTCATTCTTTATTCAAAAATGTTATCGCTTTCAAGTTTATTGCAACAATTGAGATGAAGTAAATTAAAATCATGTGGTTACCAAAATTTGATAAAATACACTCAAAAGTCATTACATGTTGAGGTATTGATAATAAGAAAATAAGCAATAACCATAGCAATGTTCTTTTTAGATGTTACCCTTTAAAAAACTGTAAATAATTTCCGTGGCAACGTTACTTTAAAACGCCTTGTCAACTTGTTTTGTATGTTACAACGTTAATTGTCAGTATTTTGATTTAGGTTTAAAGTTCGTTAACTTCAAGTCTGACAAATGGTTAGATTAACGTAAATGCATAAAATAACAGTTTTAACAAATGATTGGTTACGGAGATAAAACACGAACACAACAGGAAGTAGTTCGCCTATTTTATGAGAAATTTCCTAATTTACCGCCCATATCTCAAGGAAAAATAAGCAAAATAGAGAAGCAATTTCGCGAGCTTGGTCATGTGTGGCAGAATTAAAAATCAGCTGCCAATGCTGATGAACTCAAATTAGATGTGATGCTTGAGTTTGAGGAAAACCCACATACATCGAGTAGACAGACATCCACTACATTCAATGTCAGCCATACATCGATAGTAAACATATTAAAAGAAAATAAAATGCATCCCTATAAAATAATACCTACTCAGGAGCTCATGGAAGAAGATTTTGATAGAAGAACTTATTTTTGTAAGCAAATGATGGACATGTTGGATAACATTGTTATCCAATTAGAAGACGTTATGTTTTCTGATAAGTGTACTTTGTCTCTTAACGAGCATGCTAATCAGCAAAATCGCTGCTACTGGTCAACGGCAAAACCTCACTGGATGAGAGAAGATCACACGCAATACCCTTGAAAGGTTAATGTTTGGGCATGGATTGTAGAAAACCATGTCATTGGTCCCTTTTTCATTGAGAGCAACTTGAATGGCGATAATTATTTGGCACTTTTTAGCAAATTTATATCTTGATCCAGGAAACCCTTAAGTTTCAGTGAATATGATATGGTTTCAGCACGATGTAGCAACACCACATTACCAAGTTTATGTCCGGCAATACCTCGATACAACATTTCCCAATTGGTAGATATAAACGAAAAGCCAGGGACCAAATTTCAGTTGTTATTTCCAAAGTCATGAAAATTTACTGACTCAATGTTTAATATCTGCTCGATAATAGAAATTACTTCTGGCAGCCCCCAATGGCCGGGGTAAATTACCCTAAAATTTTAAAGAGGATAGAAAATAAGAATTATTTTAGTTGAAGTATCAGTCATGAAATTTATGCAGATTATTTTTAAAAGTATACTGAACGTATGAAAAATTCGCCAGAACATTTTCGTCCCTCCTAATTGTTGACAGAACGCTATAAATATTTATAAAAAATAGGTTGAGTCATTAGTCTTCAAATTTTAACACAATGCAGAAAATATGTATAGAATATATATTATTGTATGCCACAGAAATAAATTTCATCACTTACTATCTGCCAGAGGGAAAAACGTTCCCGTGCGAGTGCGAGCGGGACAGCTCGCACTCGCACTCGCACGGGAACGTTTTCCTCGTACAGAAATATGCACAACAAGCATTTATGCTTAGGTAATTTCTTTACAGGATTATATCATATATTATATTATCTGTAACAACAATATCAATTGTAAAAATAACAATTATGGAATAGATGAATAAAGTTTTGATTGATTTGATTTTTGATTCCATTTGGCTTTTACACTCTATAAAACGCTATCCATTCTGAAAATCCACCGAAATACATACGTACCTATAACCCTTAGTCATGTCCTTGATGACATCATATCTCTCAGAAAGTGCAGAAATAGAAACTTCACCTTCCGATATCCAAATGTTTCTTTCAAAGTACAGAAAATCTGAGCCAGGCCCTGATGGAGAACCACCCGCGAAAATAAAAAGAAGGTGGTATTTTTTCGCATTATGTCACATTTATTCGCATTATGTCACATTATTTTGAGGGTAATACTCAATTTCGAATATATTTTTATTTACAAAGTTTCAAGAAATTACTCCTTCAAGTTTAACATCATTTTTGAATGTTTTCTCATCGTTCTATATTTTTTAATTTTGTATTTGAAATAAATTGTTGAGAGTGTATTGTAAAAATGAATCAGTATTCCCTTTCCTAATTGAGAAAAAAAGTTGCTAACATGCTCTCTCGGAGATTGACGTGTTTTTTTCATCAAAAATTATCTGAACTGATGCCTTCTCGTGCGAATTTTGTCCCACCTCAATATTTAGTCACGTCCAAAAGTTACGAGACGGGTGACTTTTTACGTCAAAATGTATACAACGTGTATCAGAACTGTATATTTTGCATGTTGAAAATATTATGTTTTCTAACTCTGCGAGAATGGCTTTTGATATACTAATTCTCGTGATACCTTGACAATTCTGTTAAACATTGAGATTTCGTATTTCAGGTTTCGTACTTGATGACTTTGAAAAATCCAAGGGTACAGGTAATTAGAATACCTTTTTATAGATTCATAAATATAGGAAAAACCGCGTGTACCTACATCCCCAGTATCAGGAAGAAAATTACAGCTCATTTCTCAAAATTTTGCTTTTTTATTTTTCGAAGTATCGTCTTTCATTTCTGTTGCATACCTCATTCATATGGATCAAATTTCAAGCCACATTTCATAAAAATCAACCACCAATTTGTAACGTAAGGACGTCCATTGCTCGTCCTTGAACAATCCAATTCCATTATAAGTTTTAGGTGAAAGAATGACGTTATCAAACAATTGTTTATAAAAATGTTTCAGATATCATTGAATTCAATTTTGAATTACAGTACAGGCTACCCAAAGTTTGAGTTTCCTAATGAAAGTAGATAACTTCTTTTTCATTTTTCATTCAAAAGAGTACTTCAAATATGATAACATGGGTACATACCAAAAATAATATCCAAAAGTTGATCTATTCAACCGTCCGTTACAATGAAAAGTCGTTTTTTTTTTGGTATGAAGATATTTTGAAAAGTTTGACCACCAAATAATATAATATAAAATTTCTTCGAAAGGCTTTAAAAATATCGGAAAATACAATATTTTCCACTTTGAACTTCTCCTGCAAAAACTTTGGTTATGAAATTCCAGAGTGCCATAAACTTGAGACAAACTAATAGATTTTCAGAGAATCAACCCTTTCGAAAATTTGAGAGGAAGATATTTGTGTGATGATAATTTGTTCAGGAGATTCGACATCTTGATAACGCACACAAAAACTCATGAAAATCATTGAAAACCCGCATAGAGAAATCATCTGCAAAAAGTTTACATCACCAGGTTTATTCGGATCAATAATACCAAAAAATGTTCGACTCATTTCAGCCAGATTTCTATAAAATTACAATGTGGAATATATGAGGCCGCTTCTAAAGTTTTTTTCAAAAGTTTTGCCCGTTTAAATGAGTCTACTTTATATAGAATAAAGAAAATAACTTTTGTCTAATTTCTACTAAGTTTATTATTTGTTAAGACCGGTTTCGGATTATTACTAGTTACTTGAAAATTGTCTAATACAGTAACTATTCACTTGAAAATGGTCTAATAAAGTAACTAGTTACTTGAAATGGTCTAATAAAGTAACTAGTCACTTGAAAATGGTCTAATGAAGTAACTAGTTACTTGAAAATGGTCTAATAAAGTAACTAGTTACTTGAAAATGGTCTAATAAACTGAAACCGGTCGTAACAAATAATAAACTCAGTAGAAATTAGACAAAAGTTATTTTCTTTATTTCAATTCAATATGAATTTCTACAAAATGAATAGGTCATCAATCGGACAAGTTTATTATATACTGTAATATATCAATGAATGTTCATTTAATTCAATCGAAGTAAGCATCATTTGAATCAGTGCAGAGGTGCTCTGCAATTCAGTCCATTCAGTGCTACAGTAAAATTGTCTTTTCGATTTATTCAATACAGGATTAGCTCAATTCTTATAGTATTAGATTGGTATGTCGTTCTTTCAGGATGCAATTATAATTGACATTTTGTTTACTGTCGAGCCTCCCATAAATACTCCTTCCAGAACAGGATGATATGTATCACTCTGTATGCTGAAATTATTTTCGATAATGTCGAAAATTAAATTTTGAAATTGATCTGTCCGAGGATTTTTAAGAATGTACAACTTTCAGTTACAGGACTTGTAGGCCAGTAATAATATTTTTCAAAATGTTATTTTGCTTTTTATCAAATGCTAGAATCGATAAATAGTGGCCGTAACTAATGAAAAGAAAATGAGGTTTTTATTTGGAAAAATGTTAGATTTAATATTTCTTCCACAAAATTGGAAGGTATTTAATGTGTTTCTATCGTATACGTGACTAGTTGAATAGTATAATTTTATCACTCTATTTCATTATTACCGTCGTTTTTTTACCCCGTCAAAATATCTGAAATATACGTAATAATCAGCCTTACATTATTATTACAACACATTTGAAATACCGAATAGGGTAAATTAAGAGTGATTATGCTCAAATCATGAAATAGATTTTCAGTGGTTTAGATTTATAAATACTGTAATTTCCATTTAGTCCATTAATGCTACGTATTTTCCTTTATGATCGCCGCAATCATTTCTATTTTCGAATCCTACAATAAGTATACCAGCTATTAATGATTTTATTTCACCTTGGAAGCATTTTTGTTGCTTGTACCTTTTCTTCTATCCCCTGCCGTCGCCACTTCACCCCGATCCAGTTATATTGCTCTATTCTTGTATTTTCTGGGTCACGGATATATCTGCATGTGCATGCTAGTAAATTTCGATGTTGTGTACCAAACGTAATATATTTATGCCTGCCTGTTTACGCTGGGTAGCTATAACATAGATTTGTTTTTCCTGTAACGAAAGAATCGTGAAAATGTAAAATCATTTTGACTAGGTTCAGCGTTGAAGGTAAAGAATATAAAATCCCTTCTGCAAATACGTTCTTAAGAAATCCCTTTCATATCACAGGAGTAAACGTAACATATTTGAAACAAGAAACATTTGTGTATTTCCTCCAGTTTAGAAATGGACTCGAATCAAGGATTCCAAAGAAAATCCTCCATACTATTTAAGACCATCGGATAGAACATGAAACTCTCTTTTCAGCGATATTCCACAAGTGTCCATTTTTATTCACAACAGTTGTTTTTCGCAAATTGAATATAGCGGCACTATTTCTAACAACCAGTATTACTAAAATCAACGTTACAAAACCGAGTTCATTCAGTCAATTGGTTGAAAACCAAAGCAAAACGCATTTATAATTCAACGCAGTCCAGTAACGCATTTGTGGCTGAACCACAACCCCTGCCTACATAGTACAGGTATCGTTTAGATTCGAGAACTTGTGGTTGCCATCCTAGAAATGGTTTGAAAACGTCGAATCATTTTTACCTAATCTGGTGGACTTTTCATGTTCAGCATACCATTTTGAGAAATTTCAGTCACATTTTTCAGGCAAGGGTTGGAAACTCAATTATTTGGAATCCTAGAAAATTCATAAACATAAGCATTGCGGATGTAACCTACTAAATGACGTAATCTACCTGGTCGATTTTCAAATTAGGGTACCCACATTGTCACAGGTAAACCAACTACAGGTAATAAAGTTATTTATGACCGTCTGTTATTACCTACAGTGGTGTACAGATATATAAGGGTTAATATTGTTAATTATGTCAGTTTATTGTATTTGAAAATGTCTTTGTAGGACGAAACTGTAGTAACGTTTGATTTTATATTTTGTTATTCCCATTTATGCACTGAAACAGAAAAAATTTAAGAGAAAAGGCATTTTGAAAGAAAACTTGAAATACAGTTATTAGAGTTTACGTCAAAAACTAAGATAATTTTGTTTTTAGGTTCTCACTTCATCAAGTCGTTCTACAATAATTTCATATATGACATCATAATGCCGCCATACTGAATCTGGGAAAATATAGCTCCTACGATGCCAATTTGAATAAAAAAAGTCACTTCTATTATATCGTTGAAAACATAATTGCATGTTCTTTTGAATTGCTCAGAAAAATAAACAGTTTTCACGTATCTGTAGCCTGTAGTATATGTACGTTGTACAGTAATTTCGAAACGACATTTCCAAAATAATTTCATCAAACCATTTCGTGTTCAAATCTATTTTATTCATCACGTCTCTCAAATACGATGTCTTTCCTTTAATGAAATTTTCCCCTAATATAAAAGAATAATCAGGAACATCTCTGTATCGAAGAAAATGAAACCCTTATCTCATGAAAGACACAACTTCAATCGATTGATATTTGACCTTTTGCTGATTTTATGAGATAGAAAGTTCAAATGGCAGGCAGTGTTATTGCTCTTTCATTTCTGATGGAGATTGAGGGGAGAAGGATATAGTGAGATTGTAACAATATCACAAAGCAGTAGGGTGTTGATGAGTCTTTCTCGAAGAGGGAAATACGAATGAAGCCAGCTTTACATCAGTGCCACTCGATTATCGATAGTAATATTGCTTCACATTAAAGTGCAACAAAATTTGTGAGTAATCATAAAAAGCAGAATCCGTTCAAAAGATGAAGGGATTTATATTATCTTCCATTGTGTTTCTGTTTGCTTAATCAATACTGCATGGTATGGATATGACACTTTTTAATAAATGCTACAACGAAAACTGAAGAATAAAATTATCAAAAATAACCGAAATTCGTAAATGAAGGTTGCGACATTTGTACTTTCATCCTCGAGACGCCCACATTGTCCCCCTCAACCAATCAATCAATCAATTTATTCAATACAGATACGTATTCTTGTCTATAATGGATGTTAGTGTATCTTCAATAATAATTACAGTGAGTAAAAAAATAAATAAATAATAAATAAGTGGTGATGTTCAGTTCTTGGGAAACGCCTAAGCAAAGCTTGTGTTGCGTATTTTCCCAGATCTGAACACAACCATGAATGTAAGTGAGAAAAAAAACTATTCATTCCTTTCAGTAAGAAATAAAAATTTATAATGAAAAAATAATAATAGAAAGCAATGATCAACTCGAAGAAGGATTGAACCAGACAATCAGGCGAAGAGGAGGCAGGTCTAAGTGAGTTAAAAAAAATCAGACATGATTCAGTGAGTTGATTCAAATATTTCTTTTAAGAAATCAAAGTTGTGATCAACGAAAGATCTAATTGTTTTCTTGCGTTCATTAATATTTTATATATTTCTTAGTTCAATGGGAACTTGATTGGCAAGTTTCTGTACAAAGTAAGTAACAAACCTTTGGGTATATACATTTTTACAAAAAGGAACATTAATTGTTCTCTCAGATTTGGCTCGGATGTCATGTATGTGTGGCAGATATGTGAGAGGTTGAGTGCATAATACACAGTGATAGGTGTATAATTTTCTGATATTGAACAAACTAGCCTCCTTATATAAGCTATCAGTTGGATGTCTTCTATCTTTCTTCAATAATATTTTAAGCAATGTGTTTCGTATCAGTTGAAGATTATATAAGTGTGTTTTATTCAACCCACCCCAAACAATAATACAGTTCCTTATAACTGATTCAGCTAATGCATCGTATGTCATCAGTAATAAATGTTTATTCATTATGTTTCTGAGTTGGTAGAATTCAAAAATAAGTTTTCTAAATCTTTTCACGAGAAAATCTTCATGTTTGTCCCAGCATACATTTTGGTCAAGCATCACACCCTGATATTTTATTGTATCCGTTTTCGTTATACGTGGACAAGAACAAATTATAGAAGTTTGGCAATTAAGGGTACGTATGAAAATGTTTCCCTCTAGTGGTTGATCTCTTATAGTTTGATGAGTATTTTTTTCGCCAAAGAGCAATGCTTAATCAACACAAGAAATTCCTTTTTATCAATTTTCTTCAAACTAATAAAAGTTCCTTCACTCGAAATGTTCTATCCCACAAACGAATACTCCGATAACTGTGTAATTTGTACACGTGTGCTTTGAAGGTAAGGAGAGTAAGGAAATCTTTGTGATTCATAGTGATTCAGTAAATCACCAAATGATTCGTAGGGAACCAATTGTGATGTATACCGTTGCTGAAAGAGACAACGTTGTATACAAAAACCAACAACTGTGTCAAATCTACTGCATGAGCATTCACTAATTTGGTAAAGAAATGGCCCGTCAGTAATAGAAAATAGAGGCTGATCAAATTATACAGTCATACAACCTATGAACAATTATCAGTTAGTTCCGGGAACCCTTATAAAACTGAATTGCTCAATGAAGATGATGACAACCGTGGGTGGGACGATAGCTTGGTGGGTTGACGTGTGTGGTTTGCTTTACTCACTCAATCGACCGTTGTGTGAACCGTTGGTTCAAACCGCAAGGCCTGACGATCGATTTTCACTTCCTATCGTCCAACCCGTGTTAGGAATCACACGTTAAAAGGTAATATCTCGTTAGTCCTTAGCTCGCACAAGTTTCGACTTTTGAGAGTTGACAGCTGAATAACGAAAAAATAGATTATAACAACAACGTTGGGTACAATTTACTGAAAACAAACTATTGATGGAATAACCATTTGAATGCATTAATAAACATGGGTTTTTAGCCACGAGAATCTATTTTATCTAAATGGAGAAGTGAACAGAGACAAAACTATGAGTATTGGTACAATGAGATTTCTCCAGAATTCCTGGTTAAGATTCCTTTGTAACGCATAGGCTCCTTCTTCTTTGATAGTGTTTTGAACAGTCAGAATCATCTCCAACTTTTGGAAAACAATATCAATTCGGCAATATTCATCTTGAAAACCGATGACAATTCCATTAAGAAAGGGAAATTCGGTAGAGATTTCTTCAAACATAGATAGGTAAGCGGGGTTCTATAGAGTTATCTGCCCGAACGCCCAAATTAAATTGGAAGGGCTTTTCAACTCCTCAATTAATTTCAATGTTGTAGATTGACTTCTGAAACATTCGATGTAGTGGAAAGTGTTCTCTGATATTAGTCTGTTGTAATTTCTCCACTATTTTTGGGTAGCCAAGTAAGATCCATTTCTGTTGAGCTGTTTAGCATACGCTTCTCTCTAGGTGAATTAATGTACGCAGATTCTTTGAGCTTAGATCTCTTAGAGTGAGGTTCATAGGAAATCATTCTCGTCTTGTTCCATTCGATTTGATGTTGACCGTCTGATTTCAAAATGTGTTGTGACAATTTTGATCCTCTAAATTTTTTATTTCTGATCTAATCTCGATGTTCATTCTGGTGCACTTTCAGTGGTCTTAAAATTTCATCAATATAACTTTGACCACAATAACTAGGTGTCTTGTATATGCAACTTTTCGTTTTTTCTTCAGTGTTGTTGGATTTTGTTTGTATAAGTATAGATCTCAGGGTATTTGTTGTTTTGTGAGAAGTTTTGGCATCATATCTATTTCTAATTTTTATCTTTTCAGATAGTCCTGAATTATGAGGTATCACGTTATTTGTAAATAGAGTCGGTGGTTGTTGAATCGGTAATTGTTGAATTGGTGAGTCATTTGGTTTTTTATCGACCAGAAACAAAGGTCGATAAGAAACGCTCATTTGTTCCAGAGAAAAATTACTTTCATTCAATATCGTTAAGTGTGTTTATTGCTGCAAATGTTATAAATTATAATCAACAAAAACTATTTGCACTGGTATAGCACACTCCAAAAAATCTAACCTACTATTTTTTTGTCTTCCTCAAATTTCACAAAGATATTTCTGAAAAACCTTCAATATGAACTACGATTATCGCGTGTGTGGAGAAAACGCCACCCCGCCATTTCAATTTGTGCCTTTGGGATAATGTAAAATTTTAGAAAAATATGTTACTTGAGAACTTTCAATACGAATCACACATGATATATAAAATTGAGGGGAGAATTGGATGCAGAGGTGGGCCTACGAATGTCGCATCGGTGAAGAAATCTTCAGTTAAGGGTTTCGATTATCTATCTAATCGCTTCTTAAATATTCAACATGGGAAACCCTACATGAATCCTTAATATATATTTATTTTATTTTTGCATCTTGGTGCATGTATGTGTTTTTTATTTCAGATATCTTAGATTATAGTAATGTTGTTTTACCTACTGACTCAACAGGATCTGCATTGATTCCACCTGTTTTCAAACAAAAAGGTACAGTTTTTCAAAGATTTTCCAAACCCTGTACTTATATCGTTTTGAAGTTTCAACTTATCTTGAAGAGTATTAAAATTATCTGTCGAATACCTTAAATGAATGTTTGAACTTTGAATCTTCTTATCGTTTCAAGAAGTTACTTTATATTTACACATTTTCAGTAACAATCCTTAATAAATCCCACGAAAAATATTTTCATTGCAACAATGTCTTGCAGTTAAAAAAAATATATTTATCAATAATGAATAGATTCATGCGAAATAAACAGTGTATTTGGACAATTCTATACTCCGTGTTTCTGCAGCAGTTCACAGAATTCAGAATGTCATATTTCTGACGAGAGTGAAAATTAGCATAAAACAGGATCATAGGCATATTTTCACTGCCTTGAGGTACCATAAACCACAGCTCAAGTTGTCACCCAAATCAATATATAGCATTTCAAACGGTAAACATTTTTATTACACTGTTGAGATTGTATCCGTACAAAGTTGATAACTCAGAAATATTTCTTTCAGACCGCTTCAGAACATTGCAAAATATTGTCAGCTGTGCTTTTCAACGCATTTTGATAATTCTGAGCTATCAATAAATTAGTATCATCAGTATAACGTACATCAGGTATGTACATAAAATTTGATACTGATATAAAGATACCTCATAAGGTATTTTTATAGAGAAAAGGCCTCTGGGGCTTCCTGAGGTATGTTTGAAATATGTGATTATGGTTGATTCAGTTCAACAACTTGCTTCCAATTGCGCTGGAAAGATTTTAAAAGGTACAGAGATAAACCCGTGAAAGCATAGAAAGAAGAAACTAGGCCTTTACACAAAAAAAATTAAATCAATATCATTCGTTAGCTCTAAAAGAAAATGATTCGTTCATGTGGAAGTGACATGCACAGTCAGAACAGCAATAATGCAGGAAGAAGAAGAAAATCAAATTATACAATGTAAGTGACAGTGTTGCCAAATTCATATCAAATGTTAGAAGCACCATCGTTTTTACTTGGTTTTGAACATACTACCGAAGTAGTTGGTTTAAGCCGGAACTTCTCCCCACCACTTGAACTTGACCTTGAATGATGTCACACGACCTTGAGCTATGTGCACGTCATATGGCCTTGTAGAACTCAATTGAACCTTGAGCTATGGGCACCTCGTATGATCTTGAGCACGGAGTTCGACCTATTAGGCTATTTAGAGTAGCAAAACAGTTCTTATTATAAAAACGACATCGAACTTATTAAACGTCACTGCGAAAATAGTTTCGTAATTCATCCTGAATGGGCAGCTGAATTCAATGGATTTTAACAAAATTTTAATCCTATCAGTTTGTTTGTATCATATTTTTTGGGTTAGGTTGATATCATTTTGAATGTACTTGGTCCTTTTGTGTGCAATTTTGTGTTTTATGACAACATAAATACTTATTATTATGATTATTCAACAGAGACTAAATTCATGGAATATATCCTAATGCCAGAGACGAGTAAATTTCTTGAAACGATAACAAGCAAAATACGCTTTTTTTATGTTCGTTGCACGAGTATTGAACAATAAGTAAATGGGAAATAAGTATAAGTGAGCAATTCAAAAGCAAAAATATTTTGTTAGGACCAAAACCGGGCGTTCCTAGGAATCTAACCATAACGGAGATCAGCAACGGATTCCTGATCACGTGGATGCCTCCCGTAGAGCGGGCGGAAATAATTCAACAGTACGTCATTAAATACAGAACTGATGGGGACTGGAAATCTTTGAACAAAGCTCAAATCCGACCCGAAGATACCCAGTATTTAGGTAAGAAGGTATTGTGATAGTAGATATGTATTAAAATTGTCCTCTAGTGCTTATAAACACGACTACGCAGATGTTAACTGCTCCGAGTACAATATGCACTGCCAGTCATAAAATCAGGGTCACCCCAAGAGCTAAACTTGTCTTGGAAAAATATGTTTCATTGGAATTACTTTGGATGTACCACACTACACGCGATAAGTGTTCGACAAAAAACTGTCTCCTTCGTGAATTCCTAAAAACCACTATTACTTATATTTTATTTGGTTAGTTTTATCTGTCAATTGCCCTTTATTTGTGTACTGTTGTTAATGTTGGTATATCGAAACGAACATAAATTCTGTTGTGGCGCCTTTGGAAAATGGTCACAGTCAGCGCCAAACATTGGTGTAAGTCTCTCAAGTGTGCAACTAGTATGACGGCGGTACCACGAAACTGATTGGCTAACTCGAAGCCCTGGTTCAGGGCGAGGCAGGACTACAACAGCTAGGGATGACCTTTATTCCGTATCTAGTGCTTTGAGGAACCGAACAGTTACGGCCAGTTTTCCTTCAAAATCATCTGCAAAAAGTCAGAAATATATACTTAAGTGACTGGTTAGTTAGGAGGCAAATCCGTGCTGCTGGATTATCTTCTAGAACTAGAATTACTGGACCGCCGCTTTCCCGTGATTACAAGATTGAATTTTCCACTAGAACACTTGGACAGTAGCGAATTGAAGGCGTGTATTGTTTTCCGTTGAATCGCTATTCTGCCTCACGGGCTCGGATAGACTTGTACCCGTCGGGAAGGCACATCGTTTGATGCTCGCACGGAGTTAGCATTCATCGAGAATGGGACATTAAATGCGCATGGGTACCTAATGGCGGTTCTACTAGACCATGTTTTATCATACATGACTTTTCTTAGAGACGACACAACATTTATGCATGATGATGCACTGCCCCACACTGTCCGGGTCGTTACTCAGGATATTGACGAAGTTCAACTCATGCGATTTGTTTGAGCTGCGTACAGTCCGGATATAATTTCCATTGAATATGTTTAGGATGAGTTCAAGGAACGTTTACGGAAACATGTGCCTGCTCTTAGAAATCCTAGAGAGCTACGCGACTGGTACAAGAATAGGAAAATCTTCCTCAGATTGTAATCCAAAATCTGATCCAAAGGTTGCCTCGTCGTTTGCAAGCTGTTTTCACTGCAAGAGGAGGAAACACTTGTTACTGAAGCCCTTACATTTTTTCCTTTTTCAACCAAAAGCATATCAGAGTAAAATTTTTAATTTCATTTCCTACCATATGTGACATCAGAAAGAGATCCGAAAAAAAATCAAGATAATGTTAAATAACTTCAAATTACGGAGTAATCTAATTTTATGACCGGCAGTGTATTTCCCTTGAAAAAATTATTCTAAAAAACTACAAAACATTTAAAAAAAAACAGCATTTAAAAAAGGTCAATGTTTATCTGATATATAACATATGAAAGAAAGTTGCTAAATCATGCTTAGTCACACCATTCATAACCCAACATGGGTTGAACCGATTTTTATGACTTTTCATTTGTTGGATTTGTCTCCGTCTGAAATAGCAAAATAACTATCAAACATTTGAGAAATTTAGAAAAAATATAAATGATTGAACAAATCGTCGACGTTTGTTATATTAACGAAGATCAAATCTTTCACAGCTAAGCTATAATACATTGAGACTCCGAAATATTACGAATCAATTCACGACAAATATTGCAAATGAATAAGATATGACACGAGATGAGCGTCGTGTTCAGTATTGCCAGGTCTACTGTTTTCACAGTGGCTCTCCAGCGTCTGTTCTAAACTGATGACTCATTTTACTTCAAATAATGGTCATTTTATTATTAAGGATTTTCATCAAGACAAATAAACTACGCTAATAATGCACTTGTCCACAAAGTGATTTTTTTTTGAATAATCTAATTGAATGGCTTTCAACTACAAATACTGGTTGATGGGTCGATAGAGTTCAATAAATGTTTGACGTTGACAGCTTGGTGGTGTTTGGAAACAAATTCATTCTCATGGGCGTTTTTTTGGTATCTTTAGCAGCTCATGTAAAATTGAGAGAAATTTGTGAAGAGGTCATGTATGAAGAGGCCATTTCCATGATTGTTATTATTATTAAGACATCAAGTGTACCCAATAACACAGTTGCTGTTAGTTTTACGTCAACCGCTTATGATAACAAACGCTAATCGAGAACGCCCATGGAAGTATATTTTATAATTTTACAAAATGAGTCTTCAGGAAGTTATATTTACGTTTCAATCAGTAACAGTGTATATCCACAGTCTTGAAAATTCTTAAGACAACGACAGAGACTAAGACTCACAATATGTAATATTAAAACTAACTTGGATAACCAGAAATATGTCATTGCTGTATTTTTAGACTTAAAAAGAGCTTTTGAGACAATTGATAGAGAAATTATGTTGTTGAAATTGGCTCAGTATGGGATTGATGAAAGGTGTTAGAATGGTTCAGTGATTATTCAAACGATAGAAAACAGAAAGTCCGTTTTAAAGATGCACTATCAAATGAAAAAGACATTGATCTAGGTGTTCCCCAAGGTAGCGTTCTGGGCCCACTTCTTTTTGATTTATATTTGAACGATATTGAACTTTTTATTGAATCTGAGTTCATAAACCTATTTGCTGATGATATGTTGCTTATGTGTAGTGATATGAATTTAGATAGAGCTATTCATAAAGTGGATAAGATTTTAGGAGCGGTAAATGAGTATTTATGCACTAACAAATTGAAGTTGAATGTAACAAAAACAAAAGCAATGATATTCACCACGAAATATAAATACAGTTCTCTAGATATCAACGGTATAAACCTCAATATCAATAACGAAAAAATTGAAGTTGTGTCATCAGTCAAATACCTTGGTTTTCAACTGGATAATTTTTTAAATTTTGACTATCACTTTGAATATATACATAAGAAAATATCGAAAAAACTATATTTTTTCAGTAGAATAGCACAAAATTTGTCAATGAAGTTCAAAATAACAGTTTACAATACCATAATTCAACCGAACTTTGATTATTGTGCGTCATTATTATTTTTATTTATCCTCAATAAATTAAATATGCTACAAAAACTACAAAATCGAGGGATGAGAGTAATCTTGAAAACAAATCGCCGTACTCCCATTAAAAACATGCTTGATTGTTTGAATTGGTTATCAGTTGAAAGTAGACTCTACTATTTTACAATTCGGCATTCGGAAGTACCATGAATTCGTTAATTTTTGAGGGCTTCCACGAGTTCAATGAATTACCTGAAGAAATAAAAAAAATATCTATTTTAATAGATTTCAAAAGAGCACAAAGAATTAAAAAAAAAAGTAATAGAATAAAAATTGTATAGTTATGTGGAACTATTTGGGACATTATTGGCTATCATTTATTGTTTTTAATTGTTTTCAATTGTTCACTAGGGTATTTGTATCTGTGATGAAACCAAATATCACTGTTTTAATAATAATTTAATGTATATATGTACCTATATCTCATTAGCTATTTAAATGTTACTTAACATATGATACTGAAATCTTTATATGCAATGTTCACTGTCTGGCTACATGCTAGTTTAAATCTCGAATTGTTTAAATTTAAAAATGTTTGCATAATTTTTTTTATATTTCATTGTGCTAGTGTTATTATTACACTCATAGATATGTATATTGGGTTTCCTATTTCAATAAAGAGTATTATATATATTATTAAGAGTTAAATTGTTTTCAAAATGGCAAATTCAACAAAGACACTTGATGCATGGGAGAAAGATGAGACCTCAGTGCATGATTGACTCAATAGGAAAAACGCAAATGCATTAGATGTGTTACGGCGTAAGTTTATGATGAATTTATAAATTTTTGGTTTCATTTAAAAAAAGAATCAATAATGAATGAGACAGTAACTTTTTCTCGGTTTTTCCTACAGAATATATTGTGGCATGAAGTTTCACATTATATAAGAAAAATAAATTCAATAGTTGTGACAGCTCATATTTCAAAATTACCAGTTTATATATGACACGTTGACAAAAATGGTATTCAGAAAAAAAGTTTCATAAAGGTGGATAAATGTAGCTATACTCGATTTGTGAAAATACTTCAAAAGACTAGATGTTAGAACCTTTACACTTAAAAGCGTATAGCCGCTCGCGAACAAGAACACCTTGTATATTGCATATGAAATTACTGTGTTATTTTCACTCCTATTTTGAATTTTCAGTTAAAAACTTAGTAGGCGGCAGGACTTATTACTTCAGGATCCTCGCCTATTCGGCAAAGAGTTACGAAAGTAGCGAAGAGGTGAAGTTCTCGGTACCGGCCCGAGTGAAGCACAAGGCTATAACGGCCGGACTCGTGGGCGGAATTTTGTTTTTCATCGTCGCCATCATTCTATCCGTGTGCGCTGTCAAACTGTGCAACAAGCGGAAGCGGCGGAAACAAGAGAAAGGTAAGTTAATGACAGCTGTGACATTTACTGCCAGCTAGAAAATTTAATTTGCAAATGAATTTTCAACATGCGATGGTACAATACATAGAAGACATGTCTCTTATCTTGCTATCTTGAACCGTGTGTCTCATGCTCAGACCGTCTTTTTTTCCACATAATTTTTTTGTAAAATTTAGAATTTTGGATATATTTACTAAGAAGTCTCAATTTTTCACGTTTCCATTTACTTCAACTCTCAACTAGAAATCTCTTATCCCCTATTCAAGCAGTTTAAGATGATGAAAGTATGGCAAACCACACACAAAACCATAGCCGTTCATGACCCTGGAAAAAAAATAAGAAGATTGTAAAAAAATAAAATATTTTCCGGCAGCTCTCCATTTTCATGCTGTGAACTTCTAGATATTCCTGTAGTCATGTAGAGCAGTTCTGCTTTTGGTATTAGTTAAATGTTGACAAGTCGAAACAATAACCCACGTGGTGGGTGTAATTTTCAAAAAGTTCTGTATTAGTTTCATAAATTTATATATAAGTTACGACTGCCATATTTCCTAACCAAACACTTCACACAAAAATTGAACAGGAGAAAATAAAGTGATCTTTATATGCAGAGGTGATATCGTAAAATTAGTGTGTTATATATTAAAAACGGCCATTCATTTTACCATGTCGTAGTAGCATTAGTTGGTTTATGGGTCGATTCATAGTTCAAGAATAAATGACATTGAATTCTGAATCTAGGGTAGGGGGTTGATCTTATGTGTATCGTCTCATGAGCACAGGAATTTATACGGAATGACAAAATAAATGACTCTTTTTGATGCAAACAGCTGATATTACAAAAGATGTAAAGAAATGTATCATCTTTGCATATACTAGTATAGTTTATCTAGTTGTACCAATCAACTTGTCAAAAGTGTATCTTATTAAGCATATGTATATAGCTGTAAAAATGAGCAAGACACACGGAATAGGGTGTTCCACAAACCAGTAGATTATCAAACTTTCAAAGCTCTTGGACGGAAAATTTTGATAAGTTAATGCATAAATATGAGTCATCAAAATTTACTGGACATTATATTGTCTATGCGAATGTATTCGTTTTCTTCAAATGGAACACCCTAATATCTGAATTATGGTCAAAGAATTAAAGAATATTATAATGCATGGCAAGCTTTGAAACAACACACAGTGTCAATACTTTCACGATTATGCAGATTTCAGTCACCTTGAATCCGAATCTGTATTTTGCAACCTACACTTTCCTTCTCAATTCCTACCTAGGAACCATAAAATATCAAAGGTTTTGCGAAAAGTTAAAACTTTTGTTTTTGTATAATATGAATTTTGAATGAGATATGTTTCCTCCAGTAAATGAAAAAACAAAAATGTCAATTGTGCAATTTTCTTTTCACATCTTCGACAATCAGTTTTTGTTAATTTTTTATCAAAAATAGAATTTTATTCAATACTGTGGAGCGTTTCAAATTTTAATCTAGATATCTCGTAAACTGTAGAAATCAAAAACTATTAAACAAAATTGAAACCTATTCAGTTCTCATGAATTCTTCAGGTAATTTATCAATAATAAATTTTATAGATCAGTTCAGATATATCAATTATACATTACCTAATACAAAAAGAATGAATTCTCATTCAAGACAATCAAAACCAATGAAGATGCTTTCGATGAACGTTTCAACTCAGTACAAAATACTTTCAGTTTCACTTTTACATTAGGGAGAGTGGTGTATAACCTTAAATTTGTTCTCTTTTTCTAATTGAAATCTGAACTCTAGCTAAACAACCCACACTACGAACCCAACAATAAAAAACCTATTTGCAAATAGGAAATGAACTCAGACAAAATAATATGTACACTCTCTCTCTCAATATCAACTGGTTGGTATATGAAAAAACAAGCACTTACATAACGCCTCTTTGGTGGTTAATGGTCAACCATAGGTTTCATTGACCTGGTGTGTCTTCAATACCAAAACTTTTATTTTCTACTTTCCTGTACTCAATACTGGCTCACAATTTTGCTACTGATTTTCCTCAAATTTCGCACAGCGCCCTATTCAGGCCACTATCCTCAGCCTTGAAGACTGACGGATGACACCCTAGAACCCGACTTTACGGACTCTTGTGTCCGACCCCCTTCGTAGCTCTCGCACGATTCTCCCGAACCTTCTGTCTTCCCTGCCTTCTTAAAATCCAGGAAAAAATCACGGATTCCTCGTCCCCCAGGTTTCTCAAACCGTTCTACCAACCCGTCGTCCACGTGCGACGGAGGTCATCAGAAAACCTACGTCGCTGAATTGATAAAACTCACGATTCCAAGGCTGGGACAGTGATGGGCCTATATCTACTTCCTGAGCAGTTTTCAGCTACGTGACAAATATACAGTGTGTAACAACGAAAACTAAACAGAGCCGTTTTTGAATATAAAAAGTAAGATTTTTAAAAAAAAAGCACGGACACGTCGATTTCTAATTAAAGGGGGACACCTTTCGAACTAATCAGATTTTTTGTAGCACGCACCCCCTCGGAGGGGTGCGTCCGACGACCCTTATTTAGATAGGAAAAGTAGGTCGAATGGCACCTTGTTTTAAAGGTCTTTCGCATACCTTTACATCTCTGTTAAAAGAAAATTTTTCTAACGATTAGTTTTCGAGATAATCTGAAGATTTAAATATATTTTTATTGAGTTCAACTCTTTTTAAAATAAATCAAATTGTTTTTAAGGTACAATTTCCGTTCAGAACTTTCATAAAAAATAAATCTTTGCTTTTTATGACAACCTGCCAATACGTGTCCATTTGATTTCATAAAAAAGTAAGAATTATTTGTTTATTACGAGGAGATTTTTTCGGGGGATGGGGTTGGTTACCACCCTAACATTTCACTTAAATTAAGTGGCACCTCCTTACGAAGGTTGCCTTTGGACGTGTATATTTTATGCTTCTGATGAAAAAGTAAATCATACTTAAAACTTACCTAGACAACGAATACAACCTGCTGATTTCCTTGAATGCTGATGACATAGAAATGTTTAAACAACTGTTTTAGGGTTAATAAATCCCAATAATTGTTTTCAAAGCACACACACTAAAAGTAACACCTAATAAGGGTAACTCCATAGGAAATTTATAGTAAATGTTCAAAATGTGCGCCATTTTGTTCCATGCAAGAATAAAGATTTTGTTCGAATTTTGCTCTTACATTATTCAACATCTCAGGAGTTATAGCTCGGCATTCATCAATAATTCTACGACGTAATTCATCCAAATTGGCTGGCTGTGTAGCATAAACTATAGACTTTAAATATCCCCAAAAAAGGTAGTCCAATGGTGTTGAATCTGGTGAACGTGCTGGCCATTCAATTGGACCTCTTCTGCTAATCCATTGTCCTTCAAAATGATTAATAAAAAAATTTCGAACCTGCTGGGCATAATGGGGTGGTGTACCGTCTTGTTGAAAATGGATAAATTCATCTTGACATTTTGGATCCTGTTCAATTATTTCAACTATACGAGGTTGTATAGCCTCTTCCAGAAGTTGTTAATAAGAATCACCGGTTGAATTTCCATCAATGAAAAATGGACCTATAATATGATTCCCTAATATTCCGGCCCAGACATTCAACTTTTGGGAATGTTGAGTATGTATTTCTGCGTATTGTCTTGGGCTTTCATCCGACCAATAACGGCAATTGTGACGGTTCACGCAACCATTTAAATAAAATGAGCTTTCGTCCGAATAACAGATGTTATAAAGCAGTTCGGGATTTTGCATTAATATTTCACTCATGCCCTCACAAAACTCCTGTCTTCGGTCAAAATCATCCTCATTGAGTTCTTGAACAAGTTTGATTTTGTGAGGATGGAATTTGTGGTTTTTAAGGATTCTCCATGCGCTCATATGGTTTATTCCGACCATTGCTGATAAACCTCTGGTACTTAACCTCGGATTGGCGATGACTTGACCAATCACTCCAATCGCATTATCGTCATTCACTAACCTTCTCTGAACATTTCTTTTCTTATTTGAAACCGAACCTGTCTCCCTCAATTTTGTGGCCAAATCCAGAACGTGATTTCTACTTAGGGTTTTGCTCGTTAAATAAAATTGATGTTCTATTATCATTTTGGTCGTTGCCAAAAAATAAAACAATAACTGAAACCCTTTCAGCAGTAGTGAAAGGCATTTTTAAACAAATAACAAAACACCATCCGTTTAAACAAAACAATCGAACGATGTACTAATGAAAACTGGAAGAAGAGGAGTGGGTATTGATTTTAAAAAAGGGATTTTATTCAACAAAAAACTGATAAGAAAAACTGCTTGAAAATTTTTTTATTTAGGCATACAAGTTACCGAGTGGTCTGTCTAATATATTATTAACGTGGCGTTTTTAACTTCAAATTATCTCGAAAACTAATCGTTACAAAAATTTTCTTTTAACAGAGTTGTAAAGGTATTCGAAAGACCTTTAAAACAAGTGCCACTCGACCAACTTTCCCTATCTAAATAAAGGTCGTCGGACGTACCCCTCCGAGGGAGTGTGTACTACAAAAAACTGATTAGTCTGAAAGGTGTCCCCCTTCAATTAGAAATCGACGTGTCCGAGCTTTTTTTAAAAATCTCACTTTTCATATTCAAAAACAGCTCTGTTAAGTTTTCGTTGTTACACACTGTATCTGACTGCATATTTTCAAAACACGGTCTTATCATAATTTTACATTGTATGAGAGATCCGGCGTTTAAAAAATTCTGAATTGAAGAATACATAGCTTTCGCTAGGTATTACAGAGCATCGCTTAGGATTTTATGAATGGCGTCAACGGCGATCCAGATTTGTTTAAAACGGTAATAACTGGTGATGATCCATTGGTATATGGTATTGACATCGAAACCAAGGTCCAATCATCCCAATAGAAAAGCCCAGGAGAGCAAAAATGAAAGAAATTCACGCCAAGTTCGATCAAATGTCAAGGTTTTGCTTACTGTTTTCATCAATTACTGTGGCGTAGTGCATCAGGAGTTCTCGCGACATGGTCGTATGGACAATAATGAGTATTATCTTGAAGTTATGTGCCGCTTGCAACTAACAAAACGAAGAAAACGTCCTGTATTGTGGAGAACAAGTCATGGGGTCTGTATTACAGTCATGTAGCTGCTCACTCGTCATTGCTTGTTCGTACTTTTTGCCCAAAAACAACACCGTAATCAACACCTCAGCCAGCGTATTCACCAGATTTGCCCCTCTGCGACTTTTTTCTGTTCCCAAGATTAAAGATAATGATGAAAGGACGACATTTTGGGACAATTGACGAGATAGAAACGGAATCGCTGGGAGAGCTTGAAGACGTACAAAAAATGCATATCAAACTGCTTCGAAGATTGGAAAAAACGCTCGCACGAGTGTATTATATCTGAGGTACACTACTTTGGAGGTGACACGATAGAAATTATTGAATAAGTAAACAGTTTTTGAGAAAAATGAAAATTCATTTAATTATTTTTACAGACTTCTATAGCGAGGCTACATGCCTAACTATTATCAATCACAGTGACAGCTATAAAACATGTAGAATCGAATGAATTAAACATTATTTGTTTTGTATTTATAATACAGAATTTCAAATGGATTTCACCATTACGTAATTGGTGTATTAATTTTGGGTGAATTCTTCAACCTTTCACCGAAACCAGTTGTTGGTATTTTCAGGCATACAAAGACAAATACACTGCACTCAGGTCGTTGAAGAAACTCACTCAAACAATATAATGGTCAACTTCAGAGGAGTATTCGATACTCTAATCACATTCAAAATATTTCTATTATCAGTCATCAAACATCATTCTCTTCTATATCCAACACTGAATTTATTTTCGTGACTGGAAGTAGTTGAAGCATAAGTTTGCATCAAAAGGTTAATGAGGAAGTATTCAATTGGAGGAAGAGTATTATAGGCTGCAAATATACCCATCGACAGTTATGTTATCATTTGAACGACCTGAATATTAAAACCATATAATGGTGTGCATAAGCCTTGGCGGCAGGGGGCACATTACCCAATCACAGTAGATTTCTTTGCTGCGACCCAATCGTTTTTAATAAAGTCTATGTTTCTGGGGTAGCGTCAACCTGCTAACATCGCGGGGGATGTTCCCCACTGCTTCCCCTCGGCGGGGACGGGAGGGCGTGCATGTCTGAACTAGAAGTCACTTTGCTACTCTACCTTTAAGGTAGACGTGTTTATGAAATGTAGACGTGTAAATAGTTCAGTTTAATAAAAAGATTGTTGCTTTTGCTTTTTCTGAGGCTTTCTTTTCTCTGTGTTTTACCGTTTACGAGATATTCAAGAATATAATAAGAATTGAAATGCATCTCTGATAACTAAATTCCATCCCTCCCTATCCTAGATTAGCTATCATTAAAAAAAATTGTCCGATATAATAAATTGCTTACCAAAATCTTGATATGGAAATGCTTTTTTTATCTACTGCATGCGATTTCTTCTAAGCAAAATATTGTCATAAAATAATTTTGTATATTTCCACTATTGTAGCCCTGAAGAAAGCGAGAATCTTCGCCGAAAGTAATGTGTTGTAACTGTCCAATTGCTCGTGAGTTTACAAAAGTTATGAAAATTTCTTGACGGAAACAAATTACGTATTCTAATTATTGGTTTTATTTTTCAGCGTATAACATGGTGGCCTGTCGAATTACCGATACCAGAAATGGGGCTAACGCCACAGATAGTCAAGTGCCTTTGAAAAAGTGAGTATTGAATTTTTCCATAATCCAATCGTGATTTGAGATATCTTGTATTTGTCAGACTAACTTTCGGCCTAATCTTACGCTCGATCACGTAGAAATTTATCTGCCAATAGTTAACAAGTTTCGATGAGAGAGTTCTTCAGATTGAGAGATGTTCAATAAAAAAAAGATTGTCCTGCTCCACCCTGTTGATATTAGTTTGTTTCAGAAGTTTTGTCTGTTTTTATGAGTCTAATTCAAATTGTAATATGTCAGTGAATACTTATTCAATTTAATAGAAATAAGCGCCAATTGAATCATTGGACTTTTGCCAACGTAACACAAGTCGATTAATTTCGTCAGCATTGATATTGTTTGCTCGAGATTCGATGAAGTCAACGACGGCCGTTTCTGCCTGGTCTTGATTGGCGAAGAGTATAGCGGTAAGTGCTTGAGAAGATGGTAGTCAGTTGGCGAGAGTTCTGGGGAGTATGGTGGGTGAAGCAGAACTTTGACGCTCAATTCGTTTAATTTTTGGTTTTTGAGAATAAATATTTATTAAGTTATGGAGTCACAAAAACACATGACACTAAAACAGACAAAACTTTCAAAACCACCAAATAATTGGAAACTCCTCCAAAATATAACAGATGGGATTTTTTTACTGACGCTATACGTTAAACATATTCTTCTGGGTGTAATACAGTATCACCCATAAAATTTACATCATATAGGGTTGTTTATTTCATTTTGGGAAATATATCTGATAGTTGTATGCTTGAAAAATGATTCTCAAGACATAAGAAAGGTGCTACGTCTGTTTTCTTCGAATTTTCAATCATATGAGCTGGAAAAATGATTTTTCAATGCTGAACTCATTCTAGTCAACATTATGTATATTTTCTCCGAATTTCATTAACCCTGATGAATATTATTTTTGGTATATCATCGCACGATTGATATTGAACTGAACATCCGAAGAACTATTCACTCAAATTCGCTCTTTATTTAACAGAAGTTCATCTACTTCTCAAAAATTCAGTAGAGAACGTATTTCTATTGAACTAAGAGTACATAATATAAATCTGAAGATGAACATAAAAATGGAGTTTAGACAGCTGAAAATTACTTCTTTCGGCTAATGAAAATTGATTTCAAACAGTCCAACGAAGAAAGAGCATTGAGTTAAATATTATCTTTCGAAAATGAAGATCAACAGGCCATCTTCTATCGTATGTCACCCATATTTGGAATAACGCAATCGAGAAACATGAAGAGTGTGTGTGGCATGAGTGTTTGCTGGCCAAACTTCGAAGCTATGGCTTGTCAGACCATTTTGTGTATAGCTCTACAGCTTCCTGAAAGAACGTTTCCTGTATGTAGCTGTCGACGAATATCTCTCGAATACTTTTATCCCAGAGATCTATATTGTCTCCAACCCTCTTTCTGTTGTATATCAACGACTTATTGATTGGAAAAATCAAGAATCCAATATATTGCTTCACTGACGACAGCACACTTGTCTCGTCATTCCATTTGGATTTCAGGATATCGGCGGCGGATGCACATCTTTACCGGCAGCAGGAGGTTGCATATCTTAATGAAGATCTACAAGTAATTTCGAATTGAAGTGAAAATAACCAGGTTCAATTCAATGCCACAAAAAACCCAAAAAGTTAAATGTCTCCGAACCGAATATAATGTTAGGTCAAACAATTCCACTTTTTGCTTCGATAAGTTTGTTGGGGTTTGAAATGGAGACCAATATGTCTTGGCACAATCATGTCGTTGGAATTGCAAAAGCTGGTTCTCAAAAACTTGGAACACTGTTCCGAATCAAAAAACCATACACACCTCAGCAACCAAAATAAAAAATCATTTGCCAATAGGTCGAAAGAAAAACTGAGAAGTGAGTTTTGCAGGATGATAAAAATCTATTCAAGCTCAAATTTATTAATAATCTAAAGGAACATAATTTCAGCATATAGTGTTCAGTATCAAAAACCCGTCTGTGAATAGTTGAGTAATATAAACTCACCAGAGAAAGTTAAGCTGTACAAATGGTGAAATATTTTTAAAATATGCGAGAAAAATCAATATAACTTGAAAATTTCCAGTGGTTTTCGGAAGAAAGCTGCATACACCTTCATTCCAGCAATAGCAAATTGATAAAATTAGGATATTTTCATCATATTTTGTATATCTGAAGATGTCACACCTTGAAAAATTCACATTTCGTTTAATTTTGTATAATGCCTACCTCCCCGACTGACTATACTTGTGTAATATAACAATTTTCAATTGAAGGTGATTCATTAGCAACGTCGCACTTGAAGTAACCAACGTATAATCCTCTTACCAACTATGCGGAGGCGTACCAAAATAATATTTTTATTTATTCAAACACATAGGTAAAATTACATAAAAATTGTTATAGTAGGTGGCGCTACCTGGTGTCAATGGTAAAACTGATTACATTTTCTTATTATGCCTAATACAGATTTACAAAATAATTATTATGTTCCTTTTACATAGAAAAAGAACTACAAAGCAAAGAAATAATTACCTATGTTATGCTTATGAAGTTTCAGAATCCATTGATTCGTCTGAAGAGGAATCCCCAGTCACACTTGAATCTATTATTATTTGGTCGAAAACAGTGTCTACCATCCCGTCCAATCTCTACATTTTCTCTTCTTCCTTGATCACATGGTCTACAGCATTAGCCCAATCTTCTTTCCGTATCCGTTCCATTGCGAGTTCTAATAAACGTTGGACAACAGAAATTTTATATGTCACGTTTTCACGAGCTACGTAACCCTTTATTTGAGCCCAGATTAATTCTATCGGGTTTAACTCGCAATGGTAAGGAGGAAGTCTCAAAATGGTGATGCCTTAAGCACGAGCTATTGTATCCACCACGTGCTGGCGATATCTGTCACGATGCTGTTTAATGACACTCATAAGCTCGGCCTCAACCATGTCCTCGGAAAATGGAATTCCTTTTTGTCCTAACCAACTCTGCATGTCTGCTTTTCTGGTGGTCATAGTTGGCAGCTGTTCTACTAATCGGCTGTGATAAGAAGCGTTATCCATTACTATTACCGAATTTGGCTCGACTCGTGAAAGAAGGGATTCAAACCATCCTTGAAAGCGTTGGGCGTCCAGGTCTTCGTGATAATCCCCCATTTTTTTATGAAAAAATTAGTGCATTATCGTCTAGCTACCTATATGGGCGACAATTAGTGGTTGCCCTTTACCCATTGGTCCGCGTAACCCTGTTGATAAACCGTACACAAATGCTTGACAATAACTAGTTACACTGGTATCTTGCCAGATCTTAGACACTGTGTGACCAGCATTCACCCACGTTTCATCCAGATAATGAATCTTTTTGTGAGCAGAACGCATTTCTCTAATAGAGCGAAGATATCTCCGTCGCCACGAGACTATATCTTCTCTTTCTATTATTCTATTTGTCAGTTGTTTACTCACCTCAAAAACTATTTTAAAGTTGATGTATTGTGAGATTTTCACTAGAACAGATTAACAAATCCGCAACACGTGTTTCGCTGCACAGTAGCGTTTTCAATTAATGACAGTTATACCTGAGTTTAATGAATATTTATACCTGAGTTTAATGACTAGGTCAACTAATTATCTCACAATAAAGTGTGAATGTGATGAAAATCTATGATAATGTATTTTGAAAAACAAGTATCGGCCAACTTTATCTTATATTTTGAAGTTAATAAATATAACAGTCTATTTAATAAATACAAAACAAAGTCACCTTCACCATAAACAGAACACACTACGCCTATGCAGATAAGGACGCTTGATAATGAAGAAATCGGATGACTAATTATGGCATTTTAAGGATGCAAATATAATAGACATGCGAAGTGTTGATCAGTTTATCGATGTTTCAAAGTATTTAACGAACTGGTTCACCTATTCGCTCGTACATCCTATCGATATGCCGAAGCTATCTTGTTACAGGGGGCAAATTTTATGGAATCATCTTACTTTTCAATTATTTACAATGGCGATGCATAGACAATAAAAATGACGTCGGTAAGAATTTAGTTCTAACATTTAACATTTTTGCCGTTAGCTCTCAGTTCAATTTGTATATGAGTTACCTTCAATTGAAAATTGTTATACTATAGCTCACTCAATGGGTTTGGAATATGCAAATTATAATAAATTGTGTCATCAAATGCCACTGTATCAGCCTGGCTCCGAAAACCATGACTCTAGAACAAACACCTGAATATGTCTTCTTGTAGGACGGTTGAAACCGAGTCCTACCGTGATTACGAGAGCGTTTTCATTATTCCTGGGACAAGTCTAGACACAAACCGTAAGCGTCAGGCTAGCAGATCTCGTTATAAATTGCGATCTATTCAAATTTTATGAGCCTATACAGAATTATTATTCACTTTTTTACCAATGTCGCATTCGGTATCGAGATCTTTTTTAGATACCTGTAGAGTAGGATGGAGTGACAAAAAATTTTTTGTTCCATCCACCCTACTGAATGTGCTTAATTTGTTCCTGGAATGTTTGATTCGTATATAGGGATCTTTTCTGTGTAGGTGCATTGAAATTCGTTCACAATATTGTTGATGTTAGGATGATGGTATATTGACATAATTGACAAAACTGAAACATTTGCAATTTAATCGATTTTTTATGCAATGGGTCAAGTATACATGCCCAGGCGGGTCATTGCTGTGGAGACCATTATGAGATGCTACAAAACAGGAATGTAACTAGTTATTTAGTAAGGGGTTGTTTATTACTATCTCCTAATGATTTGGGAATACATTTTTGGTGAAATGCTATCGTCAATCTTGGGAAAAATAATATTCTTTTGGATTTTTTCTTATTAACAATTACTGAAGCAAACGTGTATACATTTTTCTAATTGTAGCAATTTTCCTACAGTTCAATACTGTCTAGTCGATTTCAATGCTTGAACTGGACTTTCAATTGCATAGTGATCCTAATTGTCA